CAACCACATCGCGACGGCAACGCCACTACCGGTATACGCTGGTGTTGTCGTCTTCTTCTTATTAATAAAAAGCCATAACAAGGATAGCAACAACAATCTTTCCTCCATGACGAGGTTCAGTCAAGCCGTGTTTCCTCTACGAAAACCGGAGTATAACTGCACATGATCACGTGGTTACCACATCGCAACGACAGCGACAACGCAACCACATCGACATTTTGTCGGTACCAGAACGCAACTGCAAAAAGCCGCTGCGACACTATTCACACGTAACCACAGCTTGACCACATTGTGTCGCTGCGACGTGGTGTGGTTGTGGTACGTGTGAGTTGACCCTACCCCTCGCACCTCGCCAATACCAAGTGGAATTTCCCAATTTTAGGCAATCATCGCTGGACCCGATGACACCTATGAATCTTCGCGACGCTTCCCCTCCAAATCCATCGGTGCGAATCAGTCACCGGCGTAACTGCATTCTTCGGCAGACAGCTAATTTGGCCCCCCATTTACGTGTAAGTCGGGCATCTATCACGGCGGCCTCGGCGTTTCTTCCAATTTACCGAGTACTACTCGTCTATCGGAAGATTCAATGAATGATAACGAGCCTAATAAATACGAAGTCGGCTCCCCGAATGGCCGTAATTAATTTAATGGATTTAGACAAAGAAATATGTACAATGAGATAGTGAGATTAATGGTGAAACTCGACGTTGTTTCGACCATTAGCAGATGTCGAAACGCCGAGGATATTCAGTTACGCGGCGCGTGGCTCCGACACTTTATTTTTTCTCCGCCGTGAGCTCTAATGAAGGCTTGCTGCTAACGAGCTGTAACGCTGCACTCTTCGTTTATTATCAAGCCTGTAATCTAACATCGGTAACTGCATCACCCAACACCAGCTCTGACACCCGCGTCTGAAAGACGTGCCCCAACTTCACTTATCCAACGAGGGATACTACGGAGAACAGTTATACCTACGTAAACTTCGCCGCAGTTCTGTGAGATTTTAATTTCTAATAGGACCAACTTAATGCATGCATGTTTAAAGTGACCGGATTTCTGTGCGCTATGCAGATCAGGAGTATATCTTTACTGGGCTTTCCGCGGACGTTTCAGTGCAACATTTACATAACGACAGTAAAAAGGGCTGTTCCAGTCCCAGAAGGGGTAGTCTACTGGTCTTATATCTGAAATCAGCGCAACATAAATTAGAAGACAGGTCGCGTGACGAACCGACTTAGCTACATCGTCTCCTTATCGTACTCCGGAAACCGCTTCGCTAACCGCTTCACATATCCTTGCCCCCAAAAAACAACTCTAAACGTAAAGCTGAAGACCTATACTGCCTAAGCTCAGCATATGGAAACGTTGCCTTCGAAACTCAATTTCGACTCTATTCACAAAAGGAGACAGTCTAATTCCCCGCTCGGACAAAAGCGGTCGCCGGCAACAAATAAGGTAACATTGCCAGTATGTCAACATAAATAAAGCTGAGTGTCCTTTAACGAAGCAGACGTTGACGTCGGGACACTAATAAAGACGGTGCAAGACAATGTGGACTTTAAAGCTGAGAATTAAAATTGAGATTACAAGTGCTCCGGGCGGGGCTAGTAAATGAAGGCTCGCATTTAGCGGTCATGGTGGTAGTGATATGGGTGGACTTCCTTTGTCTGGTAATCTTATCAGTGTGGCAGGCCGCCCCGCGTCTTGACATGATACATTGCCCGTACTATACATTTACATCCTACAACCAAATGCTGTTAAAGTACAACACATTGATACCTATACCTCGATTTGCATACAGCGAGGTCTAGTTGATATTTGTTATAAGTTTCATTACGTTTTCAAGGAATCCTTACAATTGAGTTTAACCACAACTTATCTTATTTTTAATATTCTTTCTCTTTAATAACATAAAATTTAATATAACAGGAGCTGTATAAAACTGAATGACATACCTCCAGTGAGCTTTTGGCATGTTTTTTAATTTATAGATTTAGTAATTTTAACAATGTTTTAGGCGGTTTTGATTGCAAAATTATTTGAGATTCAAATTCAACGGGTCCAAAACCTCCGGACTGTAAAAAAAAGGAGTTTGACCAGATGGGTAATTATACCGTTTTCGTCGTTCGCCGGCTCCTCATATATAAAATTAGTTTTAACAAAAAATATTATAAGCTAAAATACGTGTTTGAAGTATGCGTACTTTATCTAAAATATGTGTTTTAATAGATCTACATTAAAACTGTTGATTGTTCAGAATATCAGCCATAACGAAAAATAAAATAATTAATAAAATTAAAGTTCACCAGTATCCTGAATGCATTAGAAGCTAATGAACCGTACAGTTCAGAAGTTCCTTTCTATAAAAGGGGCGCACAGCGTCAAAATCGGCAAAGCGCTTCGATCTATCCCTTTGCAATCACAAACTTTGAATACACCTCTTTTGGACTATCGAAAAGTTCCCGATAATGGATTTGTTCGAGGACTCGATTGTTCCACGATGAATGGGTACTAATTAAAACGAAGTCACGACGCCGCCGGACCAAGTTCTCGATTGTTCCCAACTATAAATCGCAGCACTGCTCTCTCATATAAATATTGCACTAGCGCGAGGCACAACTTCGGTGCTAAATTTAAAATCGAAATTGGGGAATTGGTTCCAACGGGAACTAAGCTTAAGTGTTTTTGCGGCAGTCCCGATGTATTCGCGGTCGATATGAATCTGCATAGCTAAATAAGGATTTGTTTTGTTCACCACTCGATTCGTGTCCGAATCAAGATTAAAGGGTAAATTCTAAATTGCTTCGGGAATGTCTCGGGTAACGAGTTTAAGATTGTAAACACGTGTCGCCTTGCCTTGCCTTGTGAGATTGCCTAAATGTGTCTCGGTTCTGTCAGTGCCCCACAAATGCACGAGCTCACATCTCTCATACATCAATGTCTCAAGTTATGAAACTACCTGGAGGAGATATATGCTTGACAGTTTGACTCTAACACCTGCGGTACGAACAATTCTTTCGTCTTGTTGTGCCACAATTCGGTGCTCTATATTATATTCACATTTGGAATGAAATGTACTTCTCTTGATCGATTGTTTCCGTAACAATGGACCGCAGAACAAACAGATGGAATTAACTGTTTTTTTGTAACATTCCGTTGCGGAAAACCGCAGTATTTCTATTACAAACACCGTCTGGTTGTTTGCCTCTCTCAATAAGAAATCACGTTTGATTGCGCCGAGCTCGACCGCAAATGAGCCGAAACACACCCCCTTTATCTTCCAATAAGTAAGCTAGCTTTGGTTTCCTCGGGGGTAAATACGGATTCTAAAAAGGGAAAACAGCATAGCCAATGCCAGATGGCTCGAAAAATATAAAAATAAACGAACCGGAGTACGGATAGTGGTCACTATCTGATTGTCATTCAGTTTTATGCATAGTGGAGTCTGCAAATATGTGTAAAACATTGGGAAACCGGGGGTCAACCGTAAAAGGGGAGCACTCTCGTTACGTAAACAGAAACCTAAAAAGCGATCGACCAGGCCGACTCGTGGAAGGCAATTTTGGAAAAGTAACACAGAAAAAGTTCGTTCCTTAACGCGCCTACAAATCCCAGGGTGGCGTTCAAAATCGCGTTCCCTTTTTAAAGTTGAGACGATTCGAGTAACGAGTGTCGAATTCTCGGGCCCCAGGGCCCCCTCCAGGAGACGAAGTGTCCCCTGGAGGTGCCTCAGTAATTACCTACCATTACAGACAAAAGACACGATCCATCCGATTACCATAATTCCCAAGCCCCGAGACGGGATATAAATGGGCCACATTTTGTAGTACTACGACGGCTGACGTGTGTATTAATGACTATACTTGTCCTCTTAAATTAGGTGAGGGATCTGGTGATTTAGTTTTTCATTGGCGGTGGAACGAGGCCCGATAGATCGTCCCTACCGTGCAGGAGCGCATTTATCCCCAACCTTTGAGCGCCGTAGATAAATGCTACCGTTTAGTTGCTACTTAAATACTTCTTATATGCAAATGGGATCTTTCTCGCCGACCTCACGCATTTATTTTCTCGTTATCAAGCCTTCAAGGTATGTTTGTATACGAGAATATTTTTGGCATGAGAATTTTTAAAATACGTTCATTTATCTCTAATTGCTGCCTTGAGAATCGTTTCAAAGGGCGTTCTTACAAAAGGCCGCTGACGATATTATCGAGAACTTCGCCATTTTCTTTTCAGCAATAAAACTGGGGGCGATCGTGGTAAAAAAAACAACACAAAAACCCTTTTAAAATTAATTGAGTTTTCTTGCGGCTACATCGGCCGCTACAATAAATTAATTAACGCTCGAAGGAATTCTTAAAATTTGTAAAAGTTGGCGGGTGCGCTCGCGGGCGGCCACAGTACAGATAATTCTTCGATTTTCCATTAGGTAATATTAGCGTTGGGAGAGGCCTCTAGCGGCGCGCCCCGTGGTTTGAGCAATGGCTCCCGATCTAATATATTTCCTTTATAACTAACTACCGGAACACGCGATCTTTGATCCATTTGCATGGGCCGATTCTCGCTCCTATTTGTTTACGAGCAATTACGGTGAGCAATATTTGCCCCTTAATTGAATTTCAACTTGTGAATTTTCGTGGATAGAATTAATTAAATTTTTCCTGTTGCTAATGCTCCGACCGCGCGGGAGTTGATTAATTTTGTTAAAGCTTTTAGCGCTGAAAACGAGGTTGCCTTTGGTAATAAAAGCACTGTATAGGTAAATTATCAATCACCACTGCACTGTTTAAATTAGAAGCGACTTATATTATTAATGAAATCTCTGCTAATGATTGCGACAATGCGACCAATTTGTTGTATTTTTTTAACAACTATGTTTGAGTTCATATTTTAAAATCTTTCATAATTGAGTTCATCGTCTAATTTATATTATCTTTTATTTAAAAAAACAAATATGTTATCAATTTGTTTTAATGTAAATAATATTTTGTCCCCAGGTTGTCTCCTTGAAGGATCCCGGCTCCCGCCCGATGTGCCGCCGCGAAACCCGACCATGTCTCGGCTAAACGGCCGCATTACTGGCAACCCCGCTGATCTAGCGGACTTCGAGCCCTCGTGCCTAGTGCGCACACCCTCTGGCAACTTCTACGTGCCTTCAGGTTAGTCAGAAACTTTCAAACAAAAGTAGATTTAAGGAAGGCTTGCAACAAGGTAAGCTACGATGGATATTTTATTATAACTAAAATAGGCAACGGTAGATTTAAGATCATCTTTTATAAAATTAACATACGAAGGTTTTTCCATCAAAATATCCCAGTCTGTGACAGTATCCTTCATTCCACAGAAGACTGCAACCATTTGTTAGAGACTTTCAGACAAATAGGTAATAATACATAATTAAAAAAATACTGTAAAAAGTTGGCCAAACTTTATCTCAGCGGATTTGTGTTGACTTAGGCAAGTGAGGGTTGCGTGGCAAGCACGTTCGCTCTTACTCCCGAGAATCTAGGTCCCCGACACGTGTGTCTGAGTGAAGGTGCAGGAGTATTCAGTTTTTTTTTGGTAGGGCCCTGCCTAATACATCGAGCCCTCTAGCTGGAAATAACAGAAATGATACGGTCATCTCATTGCTGTCATTTCCCACGGAGCCCTTTCTCTCATGTTTCCCGGGGTGAAAAATACGTAACTCACGTATTTTCCAGACACAAAAGTAATGTAAAGTGAGGCTACGTCTGCTGACCTGGCTCTGCCGTGCCAAATATTGTGATGTATTTTTGTGATCTTCTGTGGTTGATGTTGTAATGTCCTCAATTTGGCTATATTAGTATATAGGTAAGAAGGCTATGTCTTCTGACTGGTGATTTCTTAGCCAAGATATTCGTCTTAGGCTTTGGGTCAGCTATCATTGAAATAAGTATCAAAGGGACAACCAAAATTAAATATTGGAGCATTTACTAATCCTTCAGCTGATCTGTGGGAATATTAGCATCTAAGCTTGTATTAACCACAAAAAATGTTTTAATAACAATTTCTACGTTAACGTATGTTTACCCTTGTTAAATTTGTATAGCTTCATTATTTTCCAGATTAATAATCTAAGAAATCGAATAAGGTTAATTATTTCTTGAAAATGAGATTAACTTTATTTTAATTCTGCATATAAGATAACATTGCGAAAGCACCTTTATTATTTAGCTACTCCGTTTTAATTACGTTTCAATTAACTAATTATAATTTTGGTACAGTCAAAGTTTTAAACAATATGATTTGTAAACAGAATTCATGAATCGTGATATTTTGGTTACGGGGATTATATAATTTATTCAATCATAATCCACGATTAAACCTTGTCTACAGGAGACATACAGAAAAATCCGTCTATGGACTACAAATCGAACTCTTCGTGCAGTAGTCCGGGCAAGCAAGACAAAAGCACATTAGAGAGGATGGACCGGGAGCGAGCGCACCCGGCGTTCGGTGCGCCCGTGCCGGTTCTGCCCGTGCGCAACAACCTGCGTGCTTCCCACTTCCCCCCTACAGCCTCGCGCTTCCACTTCAGGAAGGACCTCTCCTCTAGGTGTTCTTGGAAGTGCACCGCCATAGTGTTTATAATTCTCTTCGTACTTTTATTAGCCATCGCTTCTTATATGACAGGTGAGTAAAAATTAAGATTAGAAAATAATTATTCAAAATAAAGATTTCTAAGTAGTTTTGGTACCACGGAATCCCAAGCTGGTTTAAAACACTCAACTGTTAAATAGAATAAAATGACACAGTACTTAATCTTTCATGAACGTGTTAAAAAAAATAAAGTGGCGTATCACGTATAAAATATTTAAAAATTAAAGGATTACATGTTTTCGAAAGAAAATAGTGATCTGCGGTTTTTTGCATTTGCGTTTAAAATTATTTCAATTGAACTCACTGATTTTTACTAACAAAAAATTATATTTACTACTACTTTTGTTCACAGCCTCATACTTCGTGAACTGGTCATATCAGACTTCAAAAGCGTGTACAGTACTAGTTGGTGAATCTACAGAAATGTTCTCGGCGTCGAAAGCGACGACGATTGAATCAAATAATAAATCTCTGGCGAGACCACATCAGAGCTCGTCTTCATCCGGCTCAGGTAATGGGGACAGTCACTTACGCCCACGTAGAAGTGTAGATGGGCATGCTTCTTCTGTATCACCTTCTGTTTCTTTCATGGATACTTCCAGTACTGTAGATATGCATGATCTAATCACTACATCTTCTGTGAGCACCGTTAGATTTGTGCATGGTGTGACATCAGCGTCGGCTAACGCTACTAGTATCATTAAACCAAACCAAGAGGATGGAAAAGGTGCTAACAATGCTTTTGTGTATCCTAATGCTAATAATAGTGGTGAGCTAGACGTAAGTAACACTGAGCTTGAAACTTCGACTCATAACAATGATCCATTACGTGCTGCTGAGGATGTCACGATTTCAAAAGCAATAGCTGATGAAAGTTTTACAACTAAGCCTCCAGTAACCATTAAAACTAATATAGAACAGCCACTGGAAATGTCGCATTTGATGAACGAGGACAAGAGTTCAAAAGATATTGCTTACGATCCTACATTAATGCAAAATGATGCACTACCTTCAATATATTCTTATGGAATACAAAAACTTCAATACCTGAAGCTTCTTAATAGATTTAACGAAATTAGCGATGATTTACATATATCAATGAACGAATCTGCAGACGATGATTTAAATAAATTACATAACAGAAGTGACACTAATCCACCTAACAAAAGCGACAAAAGTTTGTCTCAAGCAATAACTACAACGCCGATAACAACCACAGTAACTCCAGTAACACTTGTAACAAAATCAGAAGACAGTACTCCGCCTGTAATATCAAATATAATGACAACGCACACCCAGCATGTTGTATCTACTACGCAATCAACACCGAGTGTCACTAACTTTAATCTGTTAAACAGTACAACTACGAGTAAACCTAGTGACACAACAGCAACCGATGAAAATGAAACTTTGAATATTGATACTCAAACGAAATTTCCCGATGTTATACCTAATGCAAAACACGTATTAATTAATCTTACAATTTCGGCTGATGGTATCGATAGTGCAGCATATAAACCCCTTTATTCTCTGACAGTAAAAGTTCCAACTGTTGGCGATAGCAATGAAATACCTACAGTCAAAATAACACCAATAGATATTGAACCAACTGCACCCACAAATTTCAACACTACGACTACAGGTAGTACTACCAAAGCAAAGACGGAAAACACTGAAGACGGTTGGGGAGGAACTTGCGAATGTTCGTGCCCAGTTTGCGACGATACTGACAATGACAACTTATACTTTGATTACAATGAAAAATCTTCAACCGAAGCAACTGAATCTACTCCTGCCGACATAAGCACAAGTGAAACTTCTTATACAACAGATTCTACAAGTTCTACTTCTGTAGATACAGTTACAACCGAAACTCTTTACGATAGCACAACAGATGGGAAAACAACAGAATCTGAAGTTCAAGATACCACTGTAGACGTTACTACTGAGACTGATTTTGTAACAATATCTACAACAGCTATGCCAGAATGTGTGTGTCCTAAAGTTAAGCCCCCGCCCATACTTATATTGGAAGGTGAGGTTGTTGGATTTGATCACGATCAACGATAACTTACTAACAATCATCGACACCATTGGTCAGGGATTTTCAATGTAAAACAACTATTATGACTAACTTACTAATTTTAAAATATGCAACAGGGTATTCTTTAACTGTATAAAAATGCATGTGCTTTTCAAATATTATAATTTGCATTTTTGTTTTGGGTAGAATAGTTAGTACAGACTTATGTGTAGAATGTTATTTAGTATTTTTTGCAATGAATGATAAATGGAAAAAGAAATCATAACTGTCACCACATTGTCGCATGTTTCAAAATGTATACTATCCAATTTGTTTTCAGATGTTCTATGTTATCATTTTATTGCGTGTTTTAGGTGCGCGTACATTTCCTGCGCAAACGTTCCCGCCAGACGGAACGACATTCATACAAATTAATCTAGGTGAAAAATTATCTAAAGAAATCCCTCCATATAGTTACTGGAACATGCAGTTCTATCAATCAGAAGCATCATATGTAAAATTCGACTACATGATTCCTAGAGGAGCCTCAATAGGTGTCTACGCTAGAAGAAATGCCTTACCGACACACACGCAATACCATTTCTTGGAAGTCATAAGTGGATTCAAAGCAAGAACAACTAGAGCCTCACATGTGAGTAAACATTTTTATAGACTCAAAAGAATTTTATAACATTTCTAATAATACTTTAAAACAAACATTATAAATATCCTTTATCGAAAGGTAATATCTCCTTTAAAACGATAATAATTTTAATTTTTCAGTCATCGGTGAAGAAGGAAATGACCCACTATATGGAGCAAGGTCACTGGTTTCTCTCTCTTTATAATGATGATGGTGACCCACAAGAAATTTCATTCATAGCGATTATGGCTGAGGATATGACCCACAACTGTCCGAATGGATGCTCAGGCAAAGGAGAATGTCTTATGGGGCACTGTCAATGCCAACCTGGCTTTGGAGGAGATGACTGCAGTGAAAGTAAGTTACTAGTACATTGTGGCTATGAGATTCAGATTATTAGAATTTTGATAATATTTAATTTTTATTGTAGGTGTATGTCCAGTTCTGTGTAGCCAGCGAGGTGAATATATCAACGGAGAATGCCAATGTAACCCGGGATGGAAAGGGAAAGAATGCTCTTTGCGACATGACGAGTGCGAAGTCCCCGATTGCAATGGTCATGGTCATTGCGTAAATGGAAAATGTTCTTGTGTCCGGGGCTACAAAGGAAAATTTTGCGAGGAAGTTGATTGCATCCACCCGACATGTTCAGGTCACGGATTCTGTATCGAAGGTGCTTGTGTTTGCAAGAAAGGTTGGAAAGGACTGGATTGTGCGACCATGGATAAAGATGCTCTTCAATGCCTTCCTGATTGCTCTGGTCATGGAACTTTCGATGTCGATACGCAAACGTGTTCTTGTCACGCAAGGTGGTCTGGTGAAGATTGTTCTAAAGGTAAACTTTCATTCCTTCTCTTTGCCGACACTGAAGAAGATTCAATGATTTTTGTTACTTAGTTTAAGGTTTTTATTTTACTCTTGCAGAAGTTTGTGACTTGGATTGCGGACCACATGGAAGGTGTGTCGGGGAGTCGTGTGTATGCGATCCAGGTTGGACTGGGGAGTTCTGTACTTCCAAACTCTGCGATGCTCGATGCAGCGACCACGGACAATGTAAAAACGGCACTTGCCTTTGCGTATCCGGTTGGAATGGACGTCATTGTACCCTGGAAGGTTGTCCTCGAGGCTGCGCTGGCCATGGCCAGTGTAGAGTTGCCAATGACGGACACTGGGAGTGCAAGTGCTTCGATGGATGGGACGGACCTGATTGTACGACACTAAAGGAACAGATTTGTGATGATTCGAAAGACAATGACAAAGGTATAGTCATATTTTAAGCCAGGCATCCAATAACAATAAGACATTTAACAATATACTAGGTACTAATATTTACTGCTCTTATTTCACCTCAGATGGACTAGTTGATTGTGAAGATCCTGAGTGCTGTCAAAGCGCTGCCTGTAAAGGAAGTCAACTGTGCGTCTCATCACCCAAACCTACAGATATTTTGCTGAGGAAGCAGCCTCCGGCGATCACCGCTTCCTTCTTCGAGAGGATGAAGTTCCTAATCGATGAAGGTAGTTTGCAAAACTACGCTAAACAGGAAACATTCAATGAAAGGTGAGATTCGGTGTTCAATGTTAGATTTAGGAAAAGACCTTATACCAAAATGCGGACTAAAATTAGTTATGGTTTAAGCCTAGTGCTGTCTCTGTCTTCTTTTTAGCAAACAAAAGTGACAGCATCTGTTTTAAACAATGTTTAATTTTAGTCAACGTTTTGTAATAAGGCAAAATGTGTGTAAAGAATTTGTTACAAATGGCTAACCAATTCTTTATATGCTCATACTAAAATGTTCATTGAAATAAAAATAATAAAATATCTGTTAAGTATATAAGATTATGCAATGTTGTGCCCCAGTCAATCCTAATGTTTTGTTTACATTTAAGAGTGTTTCACGTTGCTTTTATTTCTTTTTCTTTCACATCTATGCGTCAATATTTATGTTTAAATATTAAAAGAGCCAAATCTAACGAAACGTCTTCCTAAATGATCGGCACTTGCATGTTAACTATTTTATTTATATATCAACTTAACACTTTTATATGATTCTGATATATAAGCTGAATTAGATTAACAATAATATTGTCGATGATTATATTTACTCATACTTTGTCATTTCTTTGGCCTTTCTTACGCTGCGCAGTATGTTTTGGAATCACTTCAACACGAGGTAAGATTTGTGATAAAAAAAGGTTGTGTGTTACACTTAGAACAGAATACTCATTTATCTATATATCTATCACTAGATTGTATAAACTTAATTGGCAATATAATTTATCAATAATATGTATCAGTTCTATTGGTGTTTGCATGTTTTATTGTAACCTTATGTTTGTGTCCTGTGAATTTGTGTTACGCTTTTTAACTATTGATACATATGTACATATATAGACATGAAATATTTTTGTAGGTAGTTTTATAAGCGCATCTTCATGATCGATAAGAAAATTGATATCGGTGACGGTTTCATTATTATCACTGCATTTGAAATGTAGAAAACTATTATTAGTAAAAAAGTAGCATTTGAGAGTAGAACCCCGATCTTATAAGTCCCTAGCGTTATTTAGATAACATACCAAATACTTAAATCTACAAATAAGTACAGACGATTTTAAACAGATAAATAATCAATTATGTAAACCTGCCAAAACAGTTTACTCTGCATATTCTTCATCTAATTAAATTACAGTGAGATTTCTGAATTCAAAATTTCTAGTTTCTCGTATAACATCATAGAGTTTAACGACACTAAGACTCGGTCCGCCTTACAGCCGTTCTGCGGTGATACGAGGACGAGTGGTGACGTCACTCGGTTCTGGATTGGTTGGCGTCAGAGTGTCCACCTCCACGCCGCTGGAAGGCTTCACCCTCACAAGGGAGGACGGCTGGTTCGACCTCTTGGTGAACGGAGGCGGAGCTGTCACGCTGCACTTCGGACGCGCGCCGTTCAAGCGGTCTTCGCAAGTTGTCTTCGTGCCGTGGAATGAGGTTTGTTGCTTTCATAGCCATTAAGCACTGGGAATCATCGTCATCATTTAGTCAAGTGATGCCCACTGCTAAGCATAGGCCTCCGCCAAAGATCTGTATGCTGATCGGTCCTGAGCTGTTTGCATCGAACGACAACCGTTTATAAATATACTAGCGGCCCGCCCTCGCTTCGCTTCGGTGTAGAGCTGAAGTGTAGAATACAGTTTTTGTTCTCAGGCTTTTATTATACACAATGACATTCATCTATGATTCTTCTTATACCTGCATGCAAAATCTCAGCCCATTCGGTTTAAAATTGACAAAGTTTCATACAAACTTTCATTCCCTATTTTATCCCCTTTGGGGTAGAATTGATCAAAATCCTTTTTTAGCGGATTCTTACGTTATAAAATCTACCTGCATGCCAAATTTCAGCGCGATCCGTCCAGTGGTTTGGGCTGTGCGTTGATAGATCACTATGTCAGTCAGTCACCTTTGAGTTTTATATATATATATATATATATATATATTATAGATAATATTCGGTTTATAATTGAACGCAGTTCATAAACCTTATATATTTTTTTAAATACCTATGTATATGATAAAATTGATTGTATGTCTGTGATTTGGATATAAGTACACAATTCTTAAATTTCTGAGAACAAGCCCATTAAACCTTGAAATTTATAGCCTAGTTGCACTAATAAAAATACTAGGTTCAAAAATATTTACGTAACGTTAATTAATAGAAAGCAATATTTATCACCGGAACTCTCGACGTTAGGGCCACGACGCACTTGATTCAGTCGTTAATAATCCGAACGACTTTTAACCAACTTCGAATGAGCAATTAAATTTTTTGCTACCGCCGCAAACATGCGAGCCGACGATTAAAACAGCATTTTAAATATAAAAGTCACAAAAAGATATAAAGTCACAATTCTTGAGTTTAAGGTCTTTATGACGACGCAGGTAATTGAAAATACCAGGTGTTTTAGCTTACATTTGAACTTTTTAATTATCACTGAAGAAGTGCCGAAAAGAATATTAGAAGTTGGCTTAAGTAGGTTAAATTAGGAAGTTACCGCTTTAAGTATCTTTAGAAAATGGGAAAATCCAGCCATATTACTACAGGAAAGTAAAAAGGTACGTTGAAGCCTAATGGAAATAATAAAATTGTGTGTGTCAGCTCCGACGCACGACCGGAGTTTACACTCTAAAACGATTGTCTTTGAACAGACACAAAACAAAATCAAGTCCGAAGAAGTCGGTTACAAGTAGAGATACCTCAGGAATCGTCCCATGGTTTCGACTATCATAGGTTCCATGTCACACATTTTATCATCTTACATCAGTGATATTTATCATATATTTTATTATGTATTTCTGGAAACACACAATTTCAAAAATATCACACACTAGTCATCATTTTGTGAATATGTATTATAATTGCATCTGTACTGAAAATCACTATTCCAGAGTGCTGGACACTTACTTGTCATTTCTCTATATTCTGTTATTTATTTGTTTTCATTAATTTTGCTCCGATTTTATCTATTTTTAGTTTATTTATTTTATTGACATTTGTGACAACTTAATGTTTTTTATCCGTTGCCATGGCTAAAAGTGAAAGGTGCGCAGATGAGGTTGCGCACAAAAACGTAACGAGGTCATTAATGTCATTCATCGATAGATTTTACTCCTCACATTTCTCATACCGGGCCCCTTATATATGCCAATCGATTCTTAAGGAGTAAACTCCAATAAGGTGAAATAAAATACTTATAATACGTACAAATAACGTGGTACTTTCACGTATCGTTTGGCTGGTATAAATGGGTCCATATAAATATTTAGTCGGTTAATTTACAATTTACTGAAACGCGAATAAGCAATTTAACCCAAGTGATCACATTAAATTCAGTTTGGTAACTAGTATTGGGCTTTTATAAATAAATGTGCCATTGCGTACACGAAGTTCTTGTGTGTATTTAAAGCTCATCCCATTACCATTTATTTCCTTACGGTAAACTATTGTAAGTGACTCCTTTTTGACTAAAAGCTGCTAAAGTGGATTAAATTAAATTAAACAAATGAAATGCCTAACAATGAACTTTGGGATATTCCCTCCGAACTTCACTCCGAAACCCTAAGTAGGTTCACTACATTGATAAAGAATTATTAATTAATTATTTTCGTAAACTCATCATACTTACGTACACTCACGTACACTCATCACACTCACTCAGACGCACACACGCATACACACTGGCACATACACAACCGCTTATATAAATTATAATTTACTTTCTTAATAATCTTTTGAAAAAGATGACCACACGTACTCGCCGAAGTTCGCATCAAATCCGAACTGTATTTATTCCACATAAGGCTGATTGTGACTCCTATAGTGCATACTTTAGTACAGTTAGGGATTATATACAAATAATGAGTGTTAAACATTTTGTTATAATTGTCGACCTTCATTGCCTAATCTTGACTGGCATGAAAAAGGCTGCTAAATGAAAATTCAAAACGAAAGCAACTTACAACCGCCCTATACGTACTTAATAATTTAATTTATACGCTTGACTGTATACATTTAAATATACTTAAAAACAGTACCGGCTGAATATTACATTTATTTATTACCAATTTATACCATGCACGATTTTTTCCCCCTTCAGACAGTTTGTTCCGAAAGATAAGCACCGTACTTTTTATGCGATAATTACACAGATAGCATTGAAAAAAGTGCATTTTTTACGCTGCGTGCATTATAAATTCTATCGTAATAAATTATCACATGAACAGCTACTAGGTCTTATAAAATTTTGCCATTAAAGTCACGACGGTCACAACTAAAGGCTTTGTTACTGTATGACCTTTGCCACAATAAATATTACTGTACTGAAATCATATTATACAATTTATTAACAATAGAATATTTAATCAAGTACCGGTGAGACCGCGTATGAGGGCATGCCGTACCGCTAAACCATTTATCACAAAGTATTGTCGTACTAATTCTGGAAAGTGCTCACCTATGTAGCGTATCACCGAAACTTATGACATTAACTTTTCAAGTGTAGATTTATTATTTATTTATTATTTATTTATTATTAGTCCAAATGTTTATTCATTAAAAAAATGTATTTTTAATATTCTGTCATCTTGAAATCATCATCATTTACACCTTACAGCTTAAATTGACTTGCATGAGAAGTGGGTTGACCAATTTCTGCCTCAATAGGGTGTTAAATACTATTTATATAACTATCTGTGAAAAACGGTTTTGGGTTTCACAAATACCTAAACCATATTATTGTTACTATTTTTACGAAATTATTTTGTGAAACTGTTCTTTGATCCAAACAAAAAAAAATGCTAAGGATACGGCTTTAGGTACCTACAGATATAATGCTTAATTATATCAAAAACGCCTTCAGAAAATTGAATTAACGGAAACTACGTAATCTGCAGCCTTTTTTAAGTAACACACTAGAGCTAACAGGATATTAGGGATTTTTTACTTCAGATTTATGGGTTAATATTTTTGAGAATTACTAAGACTGTTTGATACTTCCCTTTCCATAGATTTAGTACATCTTCTAATATGTATAAAATTCTCGTGTCGCGGTGTTTGTGGTTAAACTCCTCCGAAACGAAACGATTTTTTATTTTTTTATTTTAATTTTTTATGATATATCATACAAAAATACATACAACCCTAAATTTTCACCCTTCTACCACCAACCCCTATTTTTTTAATGGCGGTACGAAGTTCGCTGGGTCAGCTAGTAATAAATATATTTGTACCTTTAACAGGTGGTAATAATCGACGAAGTAGTGATGACGACTTCGGACGAGAAAGGCGGCATGGGCCCACCTCAGGCGTGCCTCGCGCACGACTACGACGCCATGAAGCCGGTGGTGCTCGCCACATGGAAACACGGCTTCCAAGGCGCCTGTCCGGATAAAAGCGCTATACTAGCGGAGTCTCAGGTGGGTGGTATAAGAAACGATAGTTTAACAGAAGTGGTGATAATGACCACTTCGGTCGAGAAGGTGCCTCTTGCACGACTACGAAGCCATAGAGCTGGTGGTGCTCGCCAAGTGGAAGCACGGCTTCCAAGATGCCTGCGAGGACAAGAGCGCTATACTGGCGGAGTCTCAGGTTGGTAAAATAGTAAACGGCAGTTTTATAGGTGATGATAATTGAAGAGGTTGTGATAACTATGACGCCCTGAAGCCGGTAGTGCTGCCCACTTGGAAACACGGCTTCCAAGGCGCCTGTCCGGATAAAAGCGCTATACTAGCGGAGTCTCAGGTGGGTGGGATAAGAAACGGCAGCTTAACAGGTGGTGATAATCGAAAAGGTTGTGTTGACTACGACGCCATGAAGCCGGTGGTGCTAGCCACTTGGAAACACGGCTTCCAAGGCGCCTGTCCGGATAAAAGCGCTATTCTGGCGGAGTCTCAGGTGGGCGGGATAAGAAACGATAGTTTAACACAGGTGGTGATAATCGACAAGGTTGTAATGACGACTTCGGTCGAGAAGGTGCCTCGCGCACGACTAAGACGCCATAAAGTTGGTGCCGCAGAAAAGTAAGACAGAGAGCATTTCATTGATTGAATAATGAATTGAATTGCATTTTTAGTTGCAATTTGTCATCCGCATCGTGATCGCGACAGCGCTATACGAAAAAGTAAGACAGCGATAATTACATGTCTATGAATGAATTTTTACTACGCCGCTACCGCAAGCGATTATGGCATTAAGAGTGACAGAGCGGGTCTTTCCGCGAGTGTTCCAAGTAAAAACTGTACAGTCTACCCACACTATCGTCTATGATTAGAAATAATAGTTCAAAGATTCCCTTACAAACTTCCTTTACCTAACAAAAACAATTTACATGTCTCCGTTTCTATTTTCATAAAAATACGAAAATATAGTATATCGCATGAATAAATCGTATGCTCTAAAAATAAGTTAGACGTTACCTTGACATTTTAAAATCTATTTTTGTTAAACCGATTTACTGTGTTGTCGTCAGTAATAAACATAATGCAATACCTTGTTAATATTTTATAGGTTGTTCAAGAAAGTCTTCAGATACCTGGAACTGGTCTCAACCTGGTCTATCACAGCTCGAGAGCAGCTGGATACCTGTCCACTATTCAACTGCAGCTGACTCCAGAGAAAGTTCCCCCAACTCTCGCCCTCATCCATCTGAGGATCACCATCGAGGGAATACTCTTCGAGAAGACCTTTGAAGCCGACCCCGTCATCAAGTTCACTTACCCTTGGAACAGGCTCAATGTCTACAGACAGAGGGTGTATGGTGTCACTACCGCTTTAGTCAAAGTCGGATATCAGTATACTGATTGCAAGGACATAATTTGGAACGTACAAACCACCAAACTCAGTGGTCACGATATGAGTATCTCCGATGTCGGCGGTTGGAACTTGGATATCCATCACAGATACAACTTCCATGAAGGTGAGAATTAAAGTCGTTTTTTCAATAAGTAAACTGATGATCGTTTTATAATTTCTATTCAAATGATTCAGGTATTTTTGTAAGGCTTATTAGTCAGTTAAAAAAGTAGGCAAGCTTTAGACACGCAACAGTTATTGCTCTAGTAACGTACAATATTTGTTCAATTAGTTTATGATTAAATTATGAACACATTAATTCTGAACACTTGAGTTGAATAAAAAGTAGATTGCCTTATTAAATAATGCGATTCAACTAAGAATAGGACCGATTGGGCGCCATATTGTGGCGTCGTAGCTGTCAATTCAAACCAGTTAGGTAGAGTAAGCAAAAAAGTTTTAATTTAATAAATTTTATTTACCTAGATTAAATGATAAAAAATATCAGATTTTTATAAATAATTATTTATTAAGACTGAGTGATAAGAAACATTAATCCGCTCATCTCTGTACTACTGACGGAGTAGTCATTATCATCACTGATGCGTTCGGCTATAAAATAAAATATCTATTATTGTAGGTTTTAAAACGACAACTTAATTAAAAATAAAAACGGTCTCCACGGTTAACTTTTTTACCTGTATTTATCATAAAACTAAAGTGGATGCGGGTTCGAGTCCCGTCCGCTGCCTGGTCCGCGTGGATTTTTTTCTAGTAAACTTTTCTTTAGTTTTAGTTACCTTATAATTATGACTACTAAACTCAGCACAATTTACTCACAGGCATCCTGCAGAAAGGCGACGGCGCAAACATCTACCTGAAGCACAAGCCGCGTCTGATCATCACTGCGATGGGTGACGGCCGCCAACGCGCGCTCGGCTGCGGCGGAGAATGCGCCGGCGCTGCCGCCCGACAGAGGCTGTTAGCGCCAGTAGCGTTAACTGCGGCACCAGACAGGGCTATATTCGTGGGCGACTTCAATCTAGTTAGGAAGATCGGCACGGATGGAACAGTGCGCACGGTGGTTAAACTGAAGTGAGTATACATATCATCATCATCATCAGCTTATTAATGTCCCCACTGCTGGGGCACAGGCCTTCCCTATGGATGGAATAGGGAGATTGGGCCATGACCCACCACGCTGGCCCAGTGCGGATTGGTGGGTGCTAACGACTGCAGATGCAGCCAGGACCAACGGCTTAACGTGCCTTCCGAAGCACGGAGGAACTCGAGATAGTAAATTTTTGGTCACCCATCCAATGTTGAGTTGGAAAGTTGCTTAACTTCAACGATCGCAGCTGATCGCGCTAACCACTTGCGCCATCGAGCTCCTCATAGAGTATACATCTTTAACACAAAGTAGAATATTAAGGATTTTGCTATCATGGACCATTGAATGATCCATGCTGGGGTACAATCGTTCCCTTTATCTGAATCATATTGGAACATGTAATCAAGTTTTATCTGGTAGTTTGTCGCATTTAAATCAAACTACAATAAAAGCTTGTTTTCTTTCGTTCTTATTAAAAATAATTTTATTCCAAAATTAGCATACACAACATTCTCAAAATTCTCATTTTTCTTTTCCAGCGCCACTCGTGTCTCCTACCGCTACCATATGGCCCTGTCCCCGCTCGACGGCACTCTCTACATCTCTGACCCGGAATCGCACCAGATCATCAAAGTCCGCAACACCGACGACTACAGCGACCCGGAACGCAACTGGGAAACCGTCGTCGGATCCGGAGAGAGGTGCCTTCCCGGAGACGAAGCTCATTGCGGCGACGGAGCTTTAGCCAGAGACGCAAAACTAGCCTACCCCAAAGGAGTCGCTGTGTCCATAGATAATGTCCTCTACTTCGCCGACGGCACGAACATTCGAATGGTAGACCGAGACGGCATCATCACGACAGTGATAGGAAACCACATGCACAGAGCGCATTGGAAACCAATCCCATGTGAAGGCACGCTGAGCGTGGAAGAGGTCCATCTCAGGTGGCCTACGGAACTCGCCATTAATCCTTTAGACAACAGCCTGCATATTATAGACGATCATATGATCTTGCAAATGGCTCCGGACGGCCGAGTGAAAGTCATCGCCGGAAGACCATTGCACTGCCCGTCGCCTTTGACAGGATACGATATGGAATTGGCCACGTATGCTACCTTGGTGATGCCACAAAGTATAGCGTTCGGAGCTGCAGGAGATCTGTACGTTGCGGAGAGCGACTCACAAAGAATCAACCGTGTACGCCTTATCACCACCGACGGAAAGATTTCACTGTACGCAGGTGCTGAATCTAAGTGCAATTGCTTAGAAAGAGGTTGTGATTGTTTCGAAGCCGATCACTTCTTAGCTTCTAATTCAAAGTTCAACACGATTTCAGCCGTCATCGTGAGCCCTGATGGCATAGTCCACATCGCAGACCAGGCAAACTATAGGATTCGTTCCGTAATGGCAAGTATCCCTGATGCGAGTGGAGCGAGAGAATATGAAATATATTCCCCTGATACGCAAGAAATATACATCTTCAATAGGTTTGGTCAACATATTATGACAAAAAATATCCTTACTGGAGAAAACAATTACGTCTTCACGTATACCGTTAACACTAGTAATGGTAAATTGAGCACGGTAACTGATGCCGCCGGCAACAAAGTCTTCCTATTACGCGATTACTCTAGTCTTGTAAATTCGATAGAAAACACCAAAGGTCAGAAGTGCAGATTGAGAATGTCAAGGATGAAAATGCTTCAAGAGCTAAGGACACCGGACAATTTCAATGTCACCTTCGACTACCACGGAGCAACTGGTCTATTGAAAGCTAAGTACGACAGCACTGGAAGAAGTTACATCTATAAATATGATGAGTTTGGTAGACTGACTTCTGCGGTAACACCGACTGGTAGAATTATCAATCTTACATTCGATTTGAGCCTCAAAGGTGCTACTGTGCTCGTTAGTGAGAATAACAGGAAACCAGTATCAATACTTATCAAGGGATCATCAGTTAGAACTAAAGTTGGAGAAGCTGAAAAGAAAACTATAATTTCAACTGATGGTAGCATTTCTTCAAGCATGCCATGGGGTCACATCATATCTACCGACACCGTTCCATATACTATCCTATCTGAAATAGACCCTATTTTAGGTGAGAGCTACCCTGTACCAGCAAAACAGAGAACAGAAGTCGGAGGAGACCTAGCCAACCGATTCGAATGGCGGTATTTCTTACGCAGACTACTTTCAAACAAAGGAAAATCAAGCAAAGCTGTTGCTCAAATTGGTCGAAAATTACGTGTGAATGGAGAAAATCTTTTGACTCTTGAATACGACAGAGATACTTCAACTGTGGCTGTGTTAATGGATGACAAAGTAGAACTTCTGAATGTTACATACGATAGAACGGCAAGACCGGTAAAATGGGGACCTAGAAGCGGCATATTCGCAGAAGTAGAACTTGAATATGACCGATTCAATAGACTCACGAGATGGAGTTGGGGTGATCTTAACGAAACATACGTCTTCGATAGAGCAGGAAGACTACACGAGATTCGTTACGGTGATGGATCATCATTGGCTTATTCATTCCGTGATATGTTTACGAGCTTGCCGTTGAAAGTAACGACTCCACGAGGTAGCGATTATCTGCTAGATTACGATGACTCAGGTGCGCTACAAAACCTTACAACACCTCGAGGTCATATTCACACGTTTGCTCTGATGACATCCCTTGGATATTTTAAGTACCAGTACTTCTCGCCAATGAATAGGCATCCGTATGAAATCCTATATAATGATGACGGCCACATTTTAGCCAAAATATTCCCTCATCAATCTGGTAAGATACTGTATGTCTATGACAGCACTGGAAAGCTTGAAACAATATTAGCTGGAGCGTCTGCTATAAGATACGTGTATCATGAAAACACACATCTCGTGAAGAATGTCGAAATAACAGATCCTGATTATGAACTGAAGCAGGATTACAAATACCACGCAGGTATATTGAAAGATGAAAAGATGAAGTTCAACTCTAAGAGCGGACTCAACAACGCCCACTTCAAGTATCAATATGATGGCAACGCTCGGCTTTCGACCATAGATGTCAACATCAATAGCAAAGAAATGCCCCAGTTAAGATTGAAATACAATCAGAACTTGGGTAGTCTCGAAGGCGTAAGCGATTTGAGAATCTTCAGAAACACGTTCAATCGTTCTGTGATGCAAGACACTAGCAAGCAATATTTCACTATAACGGATTACGACGATTACGGTAGAATCAAATCCATACTAATGAACATAAAATCTTTCGACGTATTCCGCTTAGAACTGGAATACGACGTAAGGAATAGAATCAAATCAAAGAAAATGATGATCGGCGATACGACCTCGAACGATAGAATCAGCTACAACTATGACGGTCATCTGATGGAAGTAGTGGGTTCTGAGGATGACTGGAAGTACGTTTACGATGAGAATGGCAACGTCATCGGTGTTATAGAACATGGCGAGAAACGTTATCTGGGCTACGACATTGGCGATAGAGTTGTCCAATACGGCGACATAGAGTTCAGCAGTTACGACGGACGCGGATTTGTCATCAGACGAGGAGAACAGAAATACAGATATAATTCACGAGGCCAGTTCGTGCACGCTTTCGAAAGGGAGAAGTTCCAAACTTGGTACTACTACGACAACAGAAACCGATTAGTCGCTTGGAAAGATGATAAGAATAATGTCACTCAGTTCTTCTACACTAATCCTCAAACGCCGAACCTTATCACACACATGCATTACCCGAAGGCTGAGAAGACTGTGCGATTCCTTTACGACCAAAGAGACTTCCTAACCTGCATTGAAACAGAAGACTCGCGCTTCTATGTCGCCACAGACCACAACGGTTCACCTTTGGCCGTATTCGATATAAATGGAGAGATAGTCAAAGAAATAAAACGAAGTCCGTTCGGAAAGATTATGAAGGACTCTAATCCTGGATTCTACATCCCAGTAGATTTCCACGGAGGCATATTTGATTATAACACGAACTTGATTTACTTGAACAACAGACTGTACGATCCTGTGGTGGGACAATGGATGACACCTAGTTGGGAACATCTCGCGACCAAGTTGAGTCTTCCCACTGACATTTTCATTTACAGATTCAAAAACAACGATCCTATAAACAGGAACCAGAACGTCCCCTATATGACCAGCCTCGGAAGCTGGCTGCAACTGTACGGATACGATATAGATAAGATGATGGGATCCAAATACATTACTAACATGATCTTCCAGCCGATGACATCAGTGACAGCTCCTCAGCTCGCTCCTGACTTCGGAGTGATGTCTGGACTCCAATGCATCATAGAAAAGGTAGGCAACCTCAAAATCATATATCGACATTATTTAGACTACCAAACTAATCTTGGAAGATTTTCTTATTGTCTTTTCTTACTTTCAGGTGAATGACAAGCTGTCGGATATAGACTTCGTACCGACGCCGTTGCTAAAGATGGAGCCTATCACCAGGAACTTGCTTCCACGGGTGTCGTACAAACGTGGAGTGTTCGGTGAAGGAGTTCTTATATCCAGAGTAGACGGCAAAGCGTACATCAGCGTCGCCGACGGCGCCAACAGTGTGGTGGAAGACGTTATAACGACAGTGTTCAACAACTCATACTTCCTGGACGTACACTTCAGCATCCACGACCAAGACGTGTTCTACTTCGTGAAGGACAATTCGCTGAAGATCAGAGACGACATGGAGGAGCTGAGACGGTTGTCGGGCAAATTCAACGTGTCCCAAGACGAAACGAACGATCAAGGCTTAGAGGTAATTTCTATAAAACACTTTAAAAAAGTATAAGGATAATGAAAGAACACGTAAATGTCTTTGAAATGTTTGCTTTCTGCTTTGTTACGTACTTTGTTATTTGATGTGTAACATCTTTCCTCTCGCTTTCCTGCAATTTGTGGGAGTGATTTCGTGAAATGGGACGGAAGTGTGTAACAGGAAGTCGCGAAAGCGCGCGCTATTTGATTTGATTTTAGAACATAATGTTCAAATGGCCTATTCCTTTTGTAGTAGGTTTTATTTCTTGTTTTACTAATATAAGGTGAGGTTTGAAATGTTACACATCATACTAGCTCGTTTTTTTGTGGGATTTCCTTGCCTTACAGGCCTCGTTACTATTCGTATAATCCGAAGAATAGTATACTATCTGTATTTTTCATAATAGTTTATGAAAAGTACAGATAGAAGAGTCAAGTAATATTTATGTACTCTGTGATTGGACTTCAAAAATTTTTATTCAGTATAGTATCATTTCTTAAGTCGAGTGTTGCTTTGTTACAAAAGTCATTTGTTTGTCATACTGTCAAGCATCAATTTTATTCATAATTAAAACATTTTCATCGTAGGTACGGGTACACGCCGTCGGCAAAGGCTCAGCGCAGGCAGTGATAGTGCTCCGATACGGCGTCGATCCCGCACAGGAGAGGATCAAACTGCTGAAACACGCGCACAAACGCGCCGCGGCCCGAGCGTGGGAGAGAGAGAAGGCTCTAGTAGCCGCAGGCTGGGAGGGTCGCGGCTCCTGGACGGAGGAAGAGAAGGAGGAGCTCATCTCCCACGGCATCGTCGACGGCTGGGCGGCGCGCGACGTACACTCCGTGTCCAAATACCCGCAGCTGGCCGACGACCCCGCCAACATAGTGTTCGTCCGCGACGGCAGACGGAAACGGAGAAAGAGCGGCCGCGCGCGACACCGCTCGTGACTCCACTAACGTGCCATAACGCCCGCCATGTTGGATCCCGCGCGTGAAGTCCGCCATCTTGAAGAAAATGGCGGCTTTCCCGCGCGACGATCGGCCTCTGTAGGACTTTAGTTCTCACTATTTTTTATATAGGACTGAAATATTTTCGATTAGCCGCGGGCTCTCGCGATCGATGTAGCTCTGGTAAATAGTCAAATAAGGAATGGGACTGAGAGGAAATTGCGTGTGAAAGGTGAATCCGCGACTCGGATTCGGTTCGTGTGAGGCTAAGGCGCTCCGTACGCCTTGAGGACGGTTCCTGTATTTCGTTGCTTCTCGTACTTAGGCTTTATGATTTGTAACCCCGTAATTATTATGGTGAGCTTATTTTTGATAAGTTGACCCCCTTCGTTGGACTGATTCGAATCTCATGTAACAACTCACGACAGGGTACCGACTCATGAAAAACTAAATTTTGAAATTTATAATAAATTAATAATACGTCGAACTGAGCATAATAATGAAATGAAAATACTCAAACGCGATCACAATTTACATAATTTTTATTGATATTAATTTAACTCAATATTTTTTACTATTGTAAACATGATCTGAGGTCTTATATCCTTGCATATACTCGTATACATTCACCATGTAGAATTAATATAATTTCACGAATCAATATATTCCTATCACATTTTAGCCAAATATTTCGTTCTATCCATTTAAAATTTAGGTATTTGTAAATATTAATATTTTATTCTTGTAGTTGTTCCTTTTTAATGTTAGACCTAAGGTCTTTTTTACTTCGCAATACTGTTACTATTTAAGCAATAATTTTTGTATTTTTTATATTGTCTTACTTAATAGGTCTGACTCTTCAAATTGATGTCCCCTACTTGTTTTCGCCTTTAGGGACCATGTCGCATTAAATTTGCAGAGATCAGAAAGTCTTGTAAAGTCGTATCAGTTTCCTATCCTATAGCCAGACATTTCGTTCGGAGTGACAGAGTTCTAAGTAGCCATACACTAATCTTACAGTAACAGTAGAACGGCCTCATAATAGACAAATAACAAAAAAATTAAAGTAAAATAAAAATAAAAATTACAGTGAACGTTAATACGTACATTCTGCATGTGTTGTGCAATAAACGATCAGTAGGATTTACAGTATCCATTTAGGGGATAACTTCTCGGTGACTTATTACACTGCGCATTTATTTTAGACTGAGGTATTTTATATTAGGACGCCATGTAGACACTGTCATTAGTCAAAATCCTAAACGCGTTTTTGTCGCATTCGAAAACGCAACAGTAGATACCTATAGGACATACACAAAGCACTTGTTATATTCACTTGGGGATTCCTTCCATCCTTCCATGTGTTTCTTTAATTTATTCCCAAAAACAGAATGACGGGGTACAGTAAACGAAATTCTATTTAGTCCGTCAGTTCGATAACCAAAAAATAATGGACACGTATTTTTTCTTTAGGCAATCAACCAAAAAATGACAAAGTTATAGCGCGTCAAAGTTTGGGAGTAGGGGCTCGTGACGTCACTTTTAAGTGAAAATTGTCCAAAAACGTAACGTCATGCGACTTTTCAAATCAATATATCTCGGCAATGTTTATATTATGTGAAAAAAGAAAAAATACGTGACAAATACTTTTTGATAATCTACCTGATAAACGAAGAAAAAAAAATTAGTCATCATCCCTATTCAAATGCAGCACAAACTGGGATGAAGCTTTACATTACCTTTCATCCTTTCGTAGTTCATCCAAGTCTTTGCTTTACAAAAAAAATGACAGTTGGAATACATGGCCACAGATTTATAGTTCCACGTTCCTTCGAGTCATAAGTCAGCGAGAAGGCATTTAATAATGAATTGTAATTTAAAAAAGGTAGTTTATATAGTACATGTCCATATGTGTCTCATTTAAATTGTGGTGTCTATTCTGTGTTAGAGGTACTAATTTAATGCTAGATGACTGAGTGGCTGGTGATATGATGCGGATATTTTTTACAAAAAAAAAGTATATTGAAAGGGGAATAACTAAACTAAGTTTCCCGGGTCCGCTACCGATGACCCACGCGAAGGTGATATTTTTGCAAAATGTGACTAAACGAAGCAATACATTGTAATGTAATACGTCTTAATTCTTTATTTAGTATAAAAATAAGGTGTAATTTTATTTAAACTAATATTATATATATTAATATGTATATTTAAAAAATATCTATTGTGAATGTAGTTATTGATTTTGCGGTGATATAAACTAGAGCAGTATAGTTATCTTTTTTAATAATGTATAAAGAATTCTAATTTGTAAATAGGTACTTAATGATTATGTAATCTGTAAAAATATTGTACATATCTTTACGCTTCGATTATTTATAATGTAAACCGTTAAGTGAACTAGGGATTATGTGAAAGAAATAAATTGTAATATAATACCGGATAGTTGCGGGCGGTGAATCTTTCTTAGTAAGCAACCCCTGTCAGTTTCCTTGGCAATCGGACAATGAAAAAAACCCCAATTTGTTACTGCAATCTTTGAGCTGCAAACTGGAAGGTGTCAAAGCCACAAACATTCTCTTTAGGTAAAAAAAGGTTATCTGCATTTTATAAAAAAAAAAACTGTAATTTACTCTATTCCAGGCGTAAGGCGAATGTAGTGTAAAATTTAGTTTTAAAAAATGTGTAGATAATTTTTGAGTACTTTTATGGGACATCGTGTACTTAGTTATTGACTTATCCAGTCTGCAAGCCTTCAGGTGACCTCTCACGTAGCTTCATACTTGACAAAACAATTTCACAATCAATCATTATCATAGTATGAATTACACATCCATTTTTTAAAAACTCCTGTACCTACCAAAGACCTGCTTCCAATTTTGAAAATTATTGTCGTTTTAATCAACATCATAGTTATTTAGCTACTTCAAAATACTATATTTTATCAATAATGTATTAAAAATTAAATCATAAAATCAATGAGTTATATATCTCAAATGTTTAATATTGATATTTTTGTCAAGTGAGCAGGTGCGTGTATAGGCACATCAAAACGCAATACTATAGTCACAGACATAGACCGAAAACTTTAGTGCAGTCGCACGTGAACAGACTTACCATAGACTATATTTCTAGACTCTTAGAGCTTCGATGCGGAACATCACGAACTGCATTTACAAATAAATTGTAGAAATTAATTCCTTGTGCTGCATTTAATTTGTACTGTTGTAGATACTGCGTTGGCTGTAAGACTCGGTGGATGATGCCTTCTTACATCCAATATAAAAAAAAACAAATTAATGTAAAGTATTGTCTAAACTAATTGTAACCTTATTTCAAATATCCAAAAATCTTTTGTCATTTACGATATAAATGTTTAAAAAAGAACAGTATTGTTTACTTTATCGTAATATTTGTTATTCCTAATCATAAAAACACCGTATTTCATAGTCTTAGAATCATTTTTGTATACTATAAAAGCACCCATAATGAAATTGGGCAAAAATTGGGTTTCCTAATTGTAATACTATAATTTTATTCAAACAAACCAATTGTCACCGAGTTTGCCAGTGAGACTTGAATGTATAGGTACGTTAAAATGTTCGAGTGCTCTCAATTTAACAGTCTTCCTAACTTTAAGATGTCTGTCAGATAGTTATCTCACAGATAGGTAGATTCTTAAGTTGGGAAGCGTCCGAGTATTCATCGTATAGTCTGCTATACTCAGGTAGTCAGAATGCGTGCGTGCTGTAAGAGACGATGTAAGCATGTACAATAATAAATATAGAAAGTATTCTAATGGAATATGTAATAAAACATTAAAACTGAGTCGACACGTTTCATTTTTTTAAATCCCCGATATTTTTAAACATATTGAATACTCTGCTCACGGATGCGGAATATTCAGCAAGAAAGGAGGCTGTAATCTTAGATTAAAACAAAAAGGGTAGATACGGTACGCTCATAGTTGCATCAAACAAAAACTGATCACACTTTACTACATATGCAAAACTCACACATCCACCTGTTTGTAAAGATACAATCGAACGAACGAAACAGCAATTTCAGTTTCAACGGCAGCGCGAACGGGACGGCGAGATCCGCGTCACTGCATCACCGACCCGAACGAAACAGCACGTTAAGTTTCAACGGCAGCGCGAACGAGACGGCGAGATCCGCGTCACTGCGCACTACCGACCAGTACTCGACGTCACCACCGAATAAGATTCAAAACAAACAGCAATTTTTATGAAAAAATATATTTTTTAGTACTTACGAATGAAAAGTTATTTTAGTAGCAATTTGAGCACTTTTCAAAAACACACTTAGGCATTGTTTTATCATATAAACACAAAATATTAGCAATATTTCTTTTTGGGGTTCACATGTAAGTCGTTTGCATGTCAAGTTGTGACTAAAGCGATTAGGGTCGTGGACCACAATTTATGCGGGTCACTTTTGTGAGGCTAGTGCCGTATCTACCCTTTTTATTTTAATCTAAGGCTGTAATTGGTCGGATTAACGGCAACAATACAATCCGGCCAATAACAAAAAAATATAGTATATTGCGACAAGGATCTTTAGGTAGGTAGCAATAATGAGGGCTACCGTTTTTGTCTCACCAGATGGCGCCACTGTTGAGTGAGGTCCTGAATTGTAACTTTTAAAGTTAATTAATACACGCATGAAATCAAAGTTTACAATTAAATCATATTTTATTACAAAATAACCATATCCTAAACATAATCGCCCATACCAGTGTTGCGCAGTTGCGTTTTGTTCGGAAATAATGAGGACATAATATTTTTTCTTAGCTCCGCTTTTAAATAACGGACATTCACTGCCACGTAACTCATATTTGCCATAATTAAGCTGAGTTATTACCAAATATCCACAACATCATTTTAATTAGAAATAAACCCGCGTAGTCAACCTACAATCAATAACATTTGACATTTCGGAGACCTCACGCTACACTAGCGCCTCTAGTGGCAGATTCATGTGCTATTTTCCGCCGTCTTTGTAAACGTCATATTTTGTATGTCAATTACGTAGACAGTGGCGCCCTCCTGAACTGTCACTCACATTCATAAAGATCTTTGTCGCATTGATTTGTATATTGATCATCTGATTATAACCCTAAGACTGGACGCGCACAGACGTTTCGGTTTTTTTATTATGAGTCTGAACCGAACATTGTTTTCTTCCATTCTGAAAAAATCAGAATAGTATGCGCCTTGGTAAATATCTTGTATGTAATGATGTGCATTCAGTGTATGTACACTCGCGGAAAGGCCCGCTCTGTCACCCATAATGCCATAATCGCTTGCGGTAGCGGCGTAGTAAAAAATCATTCATAGACATGTAATTATCGCTGTCTTACTTTTTCGTATAGCGCTGTCGCGATCACGATGCGGATGACAAATTGCAACTAAAACAAATGCAATTCAATTCATTATTCAATCAATGAAATGCTCTCTGTCCGACTTTTGTGCGGCGGCCCGGATTGGCGCGTCCGACGCGAAGGCGGGGCGTAGTAAAAACTACTGTAGAAAAGTGACTGAGCGCAAAATTCCGCGATAGTACGTGCATTCAATTGGGATTCCTATATCAGGACCCCGTACATGTGCGCCCAGTCTAATACTAAACGGAATGAAGTCCAGTCGAAAACCATTTGGTGATTACAAATGAACTTTTATTGGCCACGATTGTGCGCGACGACAGCGCCAACTAGCGGTTACAATTACGGCGGAAATTTAATGTCAAATAGCTAATAATTTCAATGATATATCGTAATTTACATAAATTCTATTCGATCGTGTAAATCTATAGTGTCGATAGTAAAGAAAGGTCAACTTTCGTGTTTCCCGTCTAAAATGCCCGAATTAAAAAAACTGGAAGTACACACAGACTTACTCATAGCTGACTTCACGAGAAGAAATGATAACCAATAACACATTTAATATACAGGGTGTAAAAAAACCGATAACGAAATCGAAGGCCACGTATTTTCCACATCATGACGATCATTTTTTTCTTCTGGACCATACCTGGGGGCCAATCGCCTAACGGAAATGCTTTGGGAAACGCTAACGCTTACGATTTTATATTGTTATTTCTAGCCGCCTGAGGTTTTCGAATACCTCACGGTCATTTTTTTTAATATTGTTATTACCAATGCAAAAGAAAAAGAAAGAGCGCGAGGCATTTGAATACCTCAGGCGGCTAGAAATAACAAAATAAAATCGTAAGCGTTAGCGTTTTCCAAAGCATTTCCGTTAGGCGATTGGCCCCCTGGGAAATTTATGGCTATGGAGATATTGAAACTCAAAAACAAAATATTTTTTTCAAGATTTATACATTAATATTTACAAAAAAATATTTAGAAACTTTTTTATCTACGCACTTAGTCACACGCACACACATACACACAGGCACATTCTTTGCGTAGCGCCACAGTAGCGGGCCGCGCTATACATTGCGTACTGAAAAAAAAAGTATTTTTTAACTTAAAAATACAAATTTTTCCCACGTATAATATTTTGTAATATGACTTGTTTGGGTGTACAGAATGCGTAGTTTAAGTCTTTGTCATAGGTTTTTTTATACCCCGTATATACCAAACAACTTTATTTTGATTGATAGATAGATATGGGTAGCGAAAAACTTTTTGATTAAAACCATAGACATAAAAGTTGTTCTATGTAAAATTGCTACTGCCCAGGCTTCCTTGTCTATGGTCGTTGCTCACGAAGTTTGCCGGGGTGTACCAGTACCTACATCACCTTTTAAACAATGCGTAAAAGCTCGTATAAGGGAAATAAGAAAGAGTAAGAAGAAATAATAATAAAAAATATACCTTATTATAATAAATAATTGAAACAAACTGTTAGCATTATAAAAATAATTTATTGTTAATATAACATCTATCAAATACAGTAACACTAGATATTTACTAATTTATCTTCTATTTGTGAATGTTTATGTCACAAGTTAATCTGGGCGGGACTTTAGTGTCCTAACATTTTTATACAATCAGTTTAATATAGAGGCACATCTATCATTGAGGATAGACTTCAGTGTTAGCCAAAGGGAAAAATATATTTTTTTAACAGCCGCACGCCGGGGTGTTTATTAATTTTATTAAGTTTCAATGAAGTTAGTGTCATTGCTTTCTTTCCGATAGCAATATACTTACTTTCACAAGCATTAAAGGAGAATGTTCAAAAATGGTAGTCAGCTCTGATTGTAGTTTGAGTCGTCGTTTCTCGATTTATAAACTAAATCCCATTTAACCAGTTATGAAAATAGAAAAAGAATCTTAGTCCATAACCAGTTAGGAAATGGTAAATAACAATTCCTCTAGCCGCGATGAAACATAGATCATATTTGAAATAGTGTTTTATGTAATAAAATAAATAATAATTAATAAATAAATATTTCCAACACTCACACCAATTAGCCCAGCCCCAAAGTAAGCACTGTAAGGCTTGTGTTATGGGATGCTAGGTTAACGGATAGAATACATATACAGTACATATATGAGTATTTTTATATAGAAATACATATTAAACATCCATGACTGGAGTACAAATGCTTGTATCTATCACACAAACATCTGCCCCCACCGGGATTCGAACCCGGGACCTCTCGAGTCGGCGTCACCATGAAACCCGGCGCACAAACCACTCGGCCACGGAGGTCGTCAGAATAAACAGATAATATTATTTTTGTCCTGACGTCTTATAAATTGATGAACACCGGCTGCACGCACGAATAAGTGTGAAGTCATGTCACGTCTGAGTACGTAATCTTTGTAAGGTTATATTATTGATTTAAATTGTTTTAATATCATTGTGAAAACAGAATATTCAAACTACATATATATTATTGTAATCCTTATACATCTATGATGGATTGTCAATTGGCCTTTGTAACCAAGCTATGGAAGAGCGGTGCATCTTAACACAAGCAATTTTACTGCTTAAAAGGATATTGTAGTAGGCTAAGTTACCCAAATAAACTATTTTGTATATGTAGTCACTAGCGATATAACGAATGTAATTTTTTGAACATTAGCGAATGCGAATATTTAGTTTTTGTTCAAAATTGGTGCCAATTGTCCGTGGCATGGTGGCATTCCACTCGCGCCGGTCTTTTCGTAAACAAAGCAAGTGAATTTTGAGGTTAAAATTGGAATAGTGATTTATTAAAGAAAGTAAATCAAATTTTAGTGAAATATTGACATATTTCACACCTTGCGATGCTGAACGAGCTAAATGCAAGCTGTGTAACAATGAATATTCAAGGAAAGGAAGAACTACAGCGTCTTCAAGTTGTTTTTTTCTAATATTCGTATTCGCAAAACATTCGCAGAGATTTTGCGAATGAGAATGCGAATATTCGTTACATTACTAGTAGTCACGAGTTAGTTTAACGTTCGTGTGTGAGGTGAGGTCGAGGAATTCCTACGAACCTACCTCCCCCTCCCTGGGGTCGCAAATAAAATATATTCTAGTTTTTTGTCAAACTATTAAAATTTAAGTGCACTACATCTCATAAAAAATTTGAGTCTGCCGGAGACTCCCTACTATGCTCCATGCAAATTTGAACAGTCTCCCTATAATGACATCTCTAGCACGGTAATATTATCTATACAGTATTGTGACCGGCCCTGTCCTTGAAATAACTGCCTACGGCCGAGCGGGGCGTAAACACGCGGTAGGGCTGCCCGCCTACAGTATTTTAATTTCATCTACATAATTGAGTTTCTTTCTAGTTTTGTGATTGTAAATATTTTATTTCATATGTAAAAAAATGTTGTGAATGAACTAGGAAGTGTTTCATAAAATACATGTTATTTTAAGTGTAATATTTTATAAAAAAAAATATAGATTTGAGAAAGAAAAATATTAACACCTCGAATGAGACGTACGAAAAGTTTTATTATTAAATTTAATAGTATAATAAATACACATTCGTATAAATAGTTTAATTATTGAAGAGTTCAAGCAACCAAAAACAGCACAATATCGACTATTTTCCATATTAAATTCTGTGGGTATCTACTTAATTCTATCAAATATTCACAATACAAACGTTTAAGCACGGCTAACTGCTAAACAATTCACACCGTTCCATAGTCGCTGCGGCGCATTCGCGACTGGATGCCCACCGGGTGCCGCGCGAACTCGAGTGGCGTAGGTATGACACGCTTTCCGACCGTTTGTATGAAGATAGAATACTGTATAGATAATATTACCGTGTCTCTAGTAGCGAACGTAAGTGTTAAGAAAATATATTCTATAAAAGATCTTTCAAAATGGTTGATAAAGAGGAAGAACCTACATAACAATATGTAGGTCTTTAGTTCTATTTTTATGAATTAAATATTGCTATTGTAGCTCAAAAGTCGGTAACAAACCATATTGTGGCAGTAAAGTTGAATCGTAAAGTAACGCACTGTCTACAGTGCACATTACAACTAGTGATATGTCTCACTTTAATTACACACATATTAAGGAACATTAAATAGAATCCCAAATACAAATCAACATATAAATCAACAATAATATAATATACATCTTTAATCACTATCACTACAGTAAGGTGCTGTCACACAACAATTATACAGCTATCTAGCAAATAAAACGCTCTATAAAATGTGTTATATGCTAATAATGAAACGAATCAAAAATCACGATGCAAAATAGAATATCAAAAAAAAAAACAAAATTTTTTGAACGCGACAAAGTAACATTGTCTGTCTGTTAAGCTTTCATATCCGAAACGCAGAACTGATTCTGATGAATTTTGGTATAGAGATAAATGGGAACTCATAGACAAGGGCATCACCTACTTTTTGTGCCGAAAATAAAACTTTGTACTTCGATTTACTTTTGTAGAAAGTAAACTCATTTATTGAAGTCAAATCCTTCACACCATAATAACGAACAGCTGTGTTGCTATCGTAGCTTTAATATAAAACGTTGCATAGCTGCCGTGTGGAGCACCTTTACATAAACATCTATAAAATAACTAATATAACCAAATTATACAACTATTAAAACATACTATTTTCTAAGGCAAATGTAAGGAAGGTTAGTCATTAAATCGTCAATTTATTTAAATATACTAGACTTCACTGGTTTATATTAAATAAAATATATGAACATTTTCATAAACAAAATTAATATAACATTTTGTGACATTAAATTGTAATTATCTATGATTTAGCCAAGGGCGGATACAGCTTTCGGCGGGGGGGTCATATAGCCAGCTTTGGCGCCAGGGGGGGGGGGGGGGTCATATAGTCGTGGTATATTAAATATTGAAAGTACTTAAATAAAATCGCCCTGGATTTGGTCCATCTGTACCCAGCCCAGGGGGGGGGGGGGGGGGTCATGACCCCCATGACGCCCCCCCCCCTGGATCCGCCCTTGGATTTAGCCTCAAAATTATTGAATACATAATTAAAGCGTGTAAATAAAAAAATATATGATAATAAATGTTTAAAAATTTCTAAACACTGGATTGTATTTAATATTATTATGGCATAATTTTAACAGGAACATCGATTCGGTACGATTATTTATTAAATGGCTATAAACGCAGTCAAAACACTCAATAAATATAGTGCTTATTGTTTGTGCCAGGGTAGCGTGAAGGATTAAATATATATAAAGTATGTCTAATAAGGGTGAGTCCGTCTCCTCGATTCATTGTTCTTAAGGCCTGCGAAGACGGAGGGACTCTTGTCCACGGATTTTTGTCCGCATAAATATATCGTTACTCGCGTCCGCACGAGAGGGATTAAAAATATCGCGTTCAAAAAGTCCAAATAACCGAGAGATCGGAGTGGACAAAAGGACGGGACAGCCACAGAAAAAGTAGAACTCATGTTGCGCGTTGGATCAGATAGTAACGAGATGGACCCAATATTCTCAATATATAGATAGGTCCGTCAAATGATTCCACCCAATCTGATGTTAAGTGACAGTGTAGTCCAGACGCGAAGATAGTCCAATCCTCACCCTGCCGGACTGCATGTTGCTTCTTCACGCCTCTTTTAAAGGATCCCAGGTTGTTAGACAGGCAGAGCATTCCATTTACGGTGGAACATTAACATTCCATTCCATGTCTTCTCTCTTACATAAACTTCATGTTAATTACAACACAACTTAATCTCAGAATATTTGCTTCCATAGCGAGTGCTTCACTAAATTTCCTGGTAACAAATGTTCGCACGCCATGTGCTTTGGGTCTGCGGCAAAATCTCGGCGGATTTTTCTCTTTGATTCAGTGATTTTTGTCTTTTAGGGGCAAAAGTCCTGCGTCTGCGCAAGCCTTTACAGTAATATTTTAACATAAGGAGTTTGTGATGTCCCGTTATTAATACAATTTATTAAAAACACCTTTATGTAACAACAAACAAGTATGTAACAAAAGACATATAATCGCTTTTTACCCTTTTGGACATACTTTATACACATGACGTCCCACACATTCCCGCTAGATGATTTTAGGTCACCTTTCCCATCATCATAATGAGCCTATTGATATCCCCACTGCAGGGGCAAGGCCTTCCCTACAAGTAGCTAGAATAGGAAAGACGAGCCATGATGGTGGTACATCACGCGGGCCCAGTGCGGATTGGTGGGTGCTAACGACTACAGATGCAGCCGGGACCAACGGCTTAACGTGCCTTCCGAAGCACGGAGGAGCTCGAGATAATAAATTTTTGTACACCTGTCCAATGACCGGCAATTGCGGAAATTAGCAGTCCAAATGCGAAAATCAATGTGCCATCTAGCTCCTCGCAATACGATGATGGTATTTTTTTAACTGAAGTTACATTTAAACCGGAATTAAAGTTACAAAATTAATTCTAACGAATTAGAAATGAAATACGGAATAAGAACTGCGCTAAAAAGTGATTTCACGCAAACTGCGATCGAGTGGGCGGGGCGAAAAAATGCGATCAACATGCCGTTCATGGGATTGGTTGGAATTTCCTTTTAACATTATCTTACCCACAATGAATTGATAGCCGAATTGATTTACGGATATATCATTTGTCAAATTTGTCGCGTTAGTTTATGCTAGTGTAGGTGCTCGATGGTGCGGGCGGTTAGCGCGTTCGGTTGCGATCGTTGAATTTAAGCAACTTTCACAGTGGTCGATCATTGGATGGGTGACCAAAAATCTTCTATCTCGAGTTCTTCCGTGCTTCGGAAGGCACGTTAAGCTGTTGGTCCCGGCTACATCTGCAGTCATTAGCACCCGCCAATCCGCGCTGGGCCCGCGTCGTGAGTCATGGCGCAATCTCCGGAATAGAGTATTCCATCCATAGGGAAGGCCTATGCCCCAGCAGTAGGGACATTAATAGGCTGATGATGATTTGTACGCTTCCATATCATTTCTTATTCTTTGAAAATTCCTCTATAAACCCTATCGCTTACATCTCATACTTTTGTGATTACAAATCTATTTTTGACATTACCGTGCGATCCTAGGCCATACTAGTACAAAACGTATGAAAAAATATCTTTTACCTTACACACTTAGCTATATAAAAGCATCCTAAGTTGACTACAGATATCACATAATTACCATCTAAACAGGCCGACTCATTTAAAAGCAATGATATTTACATCAAAATCTTTGTAACATCAATATATTCTACATTCAACAAGACTTAATACTATTCACCTTTGTTTAAAATAACAGTGTTGCCAACTACATAGTTTAGCAAAATGCCAGCTGTCAAAAAGTTCAATGCTAAAGATTTATAAATCTTGTATGAAACATAAATTACGCACTTTAACCTTTATATTACATTATATTATAATAAGAGGTACATACAATCATATAATTATATATCAGTTAAAATACTCGTATAAAATAATTTTGACTAGCCGTTAAAAAGACTTGATTGTTTTTAAGACAAAATATTTGTATACAATTAAATAAAGGAATAATTATGGAACGATAAGTAACTAAATACATTATAATTTTACATTGCGTGTAAAATATCGATCTATACCGATTTAATACAAAATGAGTTTTTGTTTTTTTTTTATTGTGCAAGAACAATGAATATTTTTTTGTATGTGTAGTAAATTTTTGTGACTTTGTAGTTTTATCTAATTTTATTTATTTATTTTACCATTAGGCGGGATATAAAAATACGTATTTTATTTTTTAAATCAAAATATTTGTATACAATTAAATAAAGGAATAATTATGGAATGTTAATTAACTAAATACATTATAATTATAACTTTACATTGCGTGTAAAATATCGATCTATACCGATTTAATACAAAATGAGTTTTTTTTTATTGTGCAAGAACAATTAATATATTTTTTATGCGTAGTAAATTTTTGCGACTTTTTAGTTTTATCTAATTTTATTTATTTATTTACTTTACCATTAGGCGGAACATAAATACGTATGTTTCAAATAGTTTATGTTAAAATGCAACCATAACTTCGACAATAAAGTTAATAATTTAGGTTTCAGGTTTCAAGAATCCGTCTAAATTAAGAATACTGTAAAATTACGGTATTCAAATCCAAATAAGTAGTTACATAATATCTATGAAGTTTTATAGTTATAAATACGTCATACAGGCTTCTATAATGGCAATACGAAAGTCAGGTAATTGCCCGACTTGCATTCAGTCGCCCTCTCGCTGCGGCGACACTTCTCTAAGACGTGTAAATATTTTATGTTTTTCCAGAAAAAAAGCCCTATGTGTGTTTTTAGATAGAACACCAATTACACGGATACTACGATTATAAGTCACGTCTCAGAACACGGTCAGAAATGTGACTATTGCTTGGTTAGATGTGTCGTGAAAACGACAAATCCTTGCAATATTGCGATAGTGTTGCCCCAATGTAAAACTCATTACGTAAATGATAACAAAAAAAATATCAAATAAATGCACCGACTTAGGCAATTAATTCGAGATTTTGGAATTAATATATTTGTATCCCGACTTCAAAAAAATTATTGCAAGTTTGCGTAAAAAATATTATTTGAATTAAAACTTCCATTTTAAATTACCCAGCTTTATTGCCATAACAATAAAAAGGCGGTTCAATTCCACTGGGCCAGGTGTCAGGCTGTTTTTATCTAGTAAAAAAATCTCAAGATATAAAAAGCACTTTTATGCTTTAAATAAAAATAAATTAGTAATAATGGTGAAACCTGTTAAAGGTGTACATGAAAATCACTAAAACATAAAAACACATTCAAAGATTTACAGGTTAAAATCCTCTGAACTCTCATATTTATAACTGTAGATCGGTGTAAAAAATAAAAACGTAAATGTTTTAAATACATGAAGTAAAACTCACACAAACGTGTTATACAATAATATCGCATCGACATATTACGCAAAAAGACAATATTTGTCATTTTCCAAAGACTACATGAAACACTTCTTTCTACAAAATACACGTCTAATTTCAAACAATATTCACCTTTATTTATCTTGTCTAATAGTCCTCGACTGGGCCAGTGACTCTGGTGTACATAGAGTCCCATTTTGCGAGCATTTCACTATCCACCCTGTCTACGGTCCATCGCTGAGTTTCGCTTGACGAATCGCAACGGTTTATGTACAGATCGCGCGATGTTATGTCCATATCGACGCAGTTGCCGTTGCTGCCCGCTTTGATTTGCTTCGTTTTCTGTAGTTGAGAAATGTGCAGGTTAAAAGTAATTATGGCTTTGATGCTAAATTAAATGTTTTAGGTCCACTTGCAGCAATTTTGCTAAATCTCAATTTAACTACAAAAAGATTTAACCCATACAATAATCAAATTGTCATTGAATTTTTGTAATTTCTTGTTAGATATATCTAGTTTTAGTAGAAGCGAGATTCAGTAAATTGCTGCACATTAGCAGCGTTACATTTATTATCTAAGGCCCATTATAGAAACTCAGATTATAATCAATGAGATTAAACAAGAAATTATGTCCTTTATCTGTTATATCAAGTGTGTGTATATCAAGTCAATTAAGTATATCGAAATGAAAGTGATGAATATACGGTATCATTATTTTACCAAAAAGTAAATGCCATAAAATATTAAACTAGAGGTCGCCCGCGAATTCGTCGGCGTTAACTTAGTTTCTTGAAAATCCCTCTAAAAGCTAACATTTTTTAGGGATAAAAGTAGCCTATGTGTTAATCTAGGGTGTCAGCTAACTCCATACCAAATTTTATTCGAATCACTCCAGCCGTTTAGACGTGAAGAAGTAACAAACATACACACTCACATACTCACACACTCACATACTTTCGCCTTTATAATATTAGTGTGATAATGTGCCTAAAAATCATTTTCTTATAATTGCCGCGTTGAGTGTATATTGACATGATGTTTTTCATTTTCTAAATTATAACAATAGTCTAATAAATCGAGTAATAATATATGACAAGTTAAATCCATCGACTTATAAAAACAAGCACTTACTCACAAGCGCTTACTCATAAAGTGTCAGAGTCAAAAGTACGCACACGCGTCTGTTGTGCGTAATTTTCGAACAGTAGTGTTTCCATTTCGCTTTGAATACAACGTCACGCTATGACAAAGTTTTTGACCCAGATTCACATTTAATAGTTCCCTTCACAGTCTCGTCATCAATATATTTTATAAACTATGTTAATAATGATTATGTATGTATGTATGTATATATATATATATATACATATATATTATAAATATTATCTATATATTTAATTGTATTCTATGCATGTATATTTAGGGGTTTTTTTTTTAATAAATATATATGTAGTTACTTTTATTGGTGTATGTTTATAGTTAATCACTTTTTTTTATATAGCCGCATTCGTGTATTTCTCTACGCCTAAAGGTTGACTGGCAGAGAATGCTTTTAGCGTTAAGTCCGCCTTTTGCCCATTTTTGTAATTGTGGCAATAAAGTTTAAATAAATAAATAATAGACATACAAGTGTCGTATTTCAAGTAAATGTCCCGTTAAATAATAGAATTACGTAACTAACTATGCGTTGACTATAGTATTGCTAATTAATTACATTTTAATAGCTACAACAAAATATATTTCCCCGTGTGCGCCCCGAGTGTCACGTGATCGTGTATGTCACTCTCGCGCCGTAATCAAACGCCCTCTTTCTCTTTCGTATACAGTAGGGTATTTGGCTATGATGTGTTATAATTAGTTTAAAATAAAACGAAATTTAATTTTCAAGTTGCCGCGAAAACGTTTCTCTGGACATTATCGCGTTTCACTTGCATGTGACGTCACACAACTGTCATAAAAACGTCAAACGATACAATGTAATGCCACTTTTGCCGGAAGTTTAGTAGCGTATGATGTCATTTTTGTATTGGTCAATCCCAGGCGTTTTCGATCACGTGACCATGGAGCAAAAAATCGTTTCTATTTAATGATGTTACAGATAAGTTATTAATTATTTGTTCTTTGAGAATATTAAAATCGCTGCTTATATTCATATTAAATACAGATGCCTATAATAGGGATGATGACTAAGTTCTTTGTTTATCAGGTAGATCATCAAAAATTATTGGACACGTATTTATTTATAATACTTTTATCACATTATATAAACATTGCAGAGATATATTGATTTGAATAGTCACATGACGTCACATTTGAGTACATTTATAAGCGAAAATTCACTCAAAAGTGACGTCACGAGCCCCTACTCCCAAACTTTGACGCGCTATAACTTTGTCATTTTTTTAGTTGATGCCCAAAGAAAAAATACGTGTCCATTATTTTTTGATCATCTAACTGACGGACTAAATAGAATTTCATATACTGTACCCCGTCATCACCCCTATTGGTACATTATTTTTCATGCTGTCCAATAGGCTATTGACATTGAACCTTACTGCCGTGGCATAACGTGTTAATTTGAATAAATGCGTTAATGTTATCTGTATAAGTTGATACATCAACAAACGTCGCTCCGACGTTTTTTGGTGCACTTTTGTAAGGCGCTTGGGAGTCTACTTGTTTTTATACATCAATGGTCAAACACATCACAAAAACTCGACATATTTCTCATTCTTTAGACAAAGATTTGTTTAATGTTTTATAATCTTTGCACAAAAATACTCACCTCATCGTACTTCCATAATTGGTTACCGCCACCCAAATGGCATCCGTACAGCAATATACCGCTTTTTGGCCGCGAATCCGGTAGATCCCAGCACATATTACGCTTCTGACATCTACAAAAACCAAATATCTACTTAAAAAAGAAAAACATTTATTGACGACATACATTAACAATTACAATAAATACACATAAAACAAAAGGACCATCGTCAACTAGGCCCCACCTCAGCATAATGTTGCAACGGCAAAAATGGATTGCCGCTGCAACGTTGATATTCTGGAGGGACCTAATTTGGACGTCAAAGGACAGAGACACAAGACAATCACTTAATATACAAATAAGAGAAGTTTTTAATATAATAATATTAACACTATACAAAAACAAAAAGCAAAAACAATCATCCCTTGCCCAAGAATGTGAAGTCCATCACAAAAACAAAACATTTAATCTAAGAGGCTGTATGGGCTTAGCTCTTTGCCTTCGGATTTTTAGAAAAAACATTTTTTCTACTACGATTCAAATCGAAATTGGGATGAGAACCAAGGGGTTACAGACCAAGGTTCCAGTTTGATAAACGGTCAAAGTTCGATTCAATAAAAAAATGACTATAGATATAAAAATGTAGCGGTTGAATCCTACTAATATTAAAAATGTGAAAGTTTGTATGTTTGTAAATTTATTACTCAGTCATGCAAAAACGGCTGAACGGATTTGGATGAAATTTCGGAACACATAATAGTTCAGTACCTGGATACTTTTTATACCGGAAAAGGTTTATTAGGTACCACAGAGATTTTCAAAAAAGTATAGTAAACGCGAATGAAATCGCGGGTGGTCCCTAGTGCCTGCACCCTCTCTATAAACTTTCATTATACAAAATCTCACGCAGTGTGCTTAGCAAAGGATACGAGTTTCCCGTTCACACATAAGAATAATAAGTACTGAAAAAAAAACTGTCACAATACCTACACCCGTATTCATAAACATTACTATGAGGTCTCACAGGGTGCGTTAACGCACAGGGTCCGAAAAACCTATTCATAGACAATACTTGAGTGGCGACCGGCACTATGCGTCCCTTATACTGAACGCACAGCCAAGGTAGCCTGCTAGCTGTATTACGCAACGAATAGTGCCTATTGTTCTTTTCTTTTTGACTTCGTCAAAAAATTTTGGTTATTTGTGTTGACTGTTTTTTTCTTTGTTTGCGGCTGTATCCGAAAATAATAGCGTTCCTTTACAATGGATTACAGTAGTGAAGAAGAATTTGATAATTATATCAATGAGCAAAACAGAATAAGTACCAGAAAAGTGATACGAGATTTAATATTATAATTACCACGAAACACAAAATAGCTCTCAAGCACTGTTTGGTTTTAAAAAGGTTATGAATTATGACAATTGACAAATGATAGACATGTCATTCAGAGCTATGTGAACTACGTAACATAAATGAGCCAATCACAGAGCCCCATTCAACGCTGTGCGTTCTCATAGGGTAGAGTAATTTGAGTATTGATTATGAATTGAAAGGCTTGCCATGTAAAACGCACTGAGAAATGTCTTACTTCGCATAGTGTTGCTACTTTACTTAAACAAGTATTGTTTGTAAGTACGGGTGTTAGCCTAGCCCCTAAGTAAGCACTGTAAGACTTGTGTTATGGCATACTAGGGTAACGGATAGAATACATATACACATATATACTACATATATATGAGGAGCTCGATGGCGCAGGTGGTTAGCGCGTTCCTTAGGAACATACATTTTTCCAGGATAATAAAAAATATCCTACCTTTTCTTCCAGGTCAGAAACCATATGCGTACCAAATTTCATGCAATTCCGTTTAGTTGTTTTTGCGTGATTGAGTAACAAACATTAATATAATTCATAAAACAACTATCACATTAATATAATATTAGTCTGTGCGGAAAGAGAATGGGATTTAGATTGGAGGGCGCTGTAGTGCTTTTCTACCGTATTTGTAAGGTTTTACCCCTTTAAGACATGATTAAATGCAAAAAACCGCAAGAAATCACAACAACAAAACAAATCCGTATCAATACAAAACTTTGACGTTTTACAGATTGCTGGGTTTGATTGCCAAATAAAAATCTTAATGTTAGTTCCGTTTTTCGCCACGCCCATCTCTTTCCGCACAGACTCTAGTAGGATCTCAAGTATAAATATTGAGTTTCGAGTTAATCGAAATGTACGTTAAAATTCGTCCATATAAAAACTTAGACAATTCCTTTTTAGGGGATGATAGCAAAGAAAAACTAAAAATGACAAACTTTATAATTTCATTAGTTAAGTATTCGTGTTAAGTTTCAAGCCTATAACTCAAGGAATTAGATTTTTCATATAAACGTCATTCCCTAGTTTAAACTCTTCAGATGATGGTAGCTTGGGGGCCGCACCCCGACTGATGTTGGTCGGGCATTGCATATATGGAGTGTCAGCCTTCGAATTTCACTTGCGCGATGTAGGCTTCCATACTTATGATCGCAGCGTCGGTAGCGCCATCTCTTGAGGAGGCGAGTGATGATTTCCTCCATCCGTTAGATATATGTGGGGGCATATAGATGTCACCGCCACATCCTCATAAGGAACCTACGTGCCAAATTTGGAGTCTCTACACCCAGCGGTTTGTGCTGTGCGTTGATATGTCAGTCAGTCAGTCAATCAGTCAGTCAGTTTTCTTATTTTATATATTTACTAGTGGCCCGCCCCCGCTTCGCTTCGGTGTAGAGCTGAAGTGTCGACTACAGTTTTTGTTCTCAGGCTTGTATTATACACAATGACATTCATCTACGATTCTTCTTATACCTGCATGCAAAGTCTCAGCCCGATCGGTTTAAAATTGACAAAGTTTCATACAAACTTTCATTCCCTATTTTATCCCCTTGGGGGTAGAATTGATCAAAATCCTTTCTTAGCGGATGCCTACGTCATAACATCTACCTGCATGCCAATTTTCAGCCCGATCCGTCCAGTGGTTTGGGCTGTGCGTTGATAGTTCACTATGTCAGTCAGACACCTTTGAGTTTTATATATATATAGATTTATATTCTTCTAACAATAAACTTACTTGATATCCTTATGCCAAGAAAATAGGAAATGTTGCTCAGCAGTCTGTCGGTCGGAACATTCTCGAAGTAACAATTTTTCCATCTGTTGGCCTTTGTGCGCGTCTACGCACAATTTGAGATCCACTGTAGGCCTTATCTATTAGGATATAAAGACTATTTTAAAGCAACGCTTGGTGGAATAAATAGGACTTAAGAGCGGGCGCGAGCTGAAAGACATTTGAGGAATAGGTATTTGAAGAAACTATTGCTGTCACGCATTGGCAAATACCGTGTGATAGGGACAGCGTTTACTACGCTGAAAAATGCGTATAAAAATTGCAAAATTCGAGGTTTGGCTCTCGACGATTTCCTCCTTGAAAAATTGATATATGTTAATGATTTTTTACAATAAAAAAATAATAAGTAGTTACACTATGCCTCTTTGATTTATTCTAAATGCTTATTAAATCGCCACACTAGAAATCTTTAGTGGCCTAAATAAAATATAACTAGAAAAAAATCCACGCGGACCAGGCAGCAGACGGGACTCGAACCCGCAATCCGGGCGAATGTACTGACCAATTATGCTACCGCGGCCCTCACGGACCGCGTCGAAATTCTTCTAGCCATTCTTAAACTGCAAGGCAGCGCCATCTCTTCGCATTATAGGTAACCCACAATGTCAAATGAATACTTTTACAAGTATTAAACATTTGAAAGAAGAAATTGCAATTATAGTTATAATTTTTTTTTTTTTTTAAAGCATGCTTAAAATCTTTAGTGGTGATAAAAATTTGTTTATTTTTGGCTTCTTCGATGGCTTCTAGTTTCTTTGAAACACAAGTTATCGAAAAAACGAAAAACATAGGAACATAGAATAAGTAAAATTGTTATGCGTTGCGATGTGTCGACACCGTTCTCACTCTAACCATAATAAATTCAATTCAATTCAAAATATCTTTATTCAAATAGGAAGCATAATACAACTCTTTTGAAACGTCCATATATTTTTCCCTACCACGCATTAAGGACTTTTTTTTGCTGTGGATAAAAACGAGCGAAAAAACTTCAAAGCGTCAAATCATGTAACAATATTTACAAAATAGTATATTGTAACAGTGTCAATTACACAATTAGGACTTTTTTTAGTAGCTTTAATTTTATTGACGCGCTGCAATCTATTGACATTCTCTCTCTGACTTTAAAATTACCAATACTTTTTCTGTAAAATGGTAAATAACCGCCATTCTAAACACAGATACCAACAATTGGTACTTTATTTTTCATACAATCAAGTAATCTATTCATTAAGTCTTCGATTTACTTACCCGTCCCTCTGCAAACGGGCTTGGTTCCACTACTGGATATTTGTACACCAGATCGAATGCTACCTGAAATGAAAAATAACATAACTTTATTGTTAATATCATCCACAGTACCACGGTAATATTATCTATACAGTATTGTGACTCGGAACTGTCCTAGAAATAACTGCCTACGGCCGAGCGGGGCGTTAACACGCGGTAGGGCTGCCCGCCTACAGTATTTTAATTTCATCTACATAATTGAGTTTCTTTCTAGTTTTGTGATTGTAAACGACGTCACACAGCTAACCGTGTTTTTTAATCAAAACGTGTATATACAAAATTTCAGCTCAACCGGTTGAAGATATCTGCTTCAAAATTGAGTTGCAAGATTCCAACCGAACAAACATAGTTACATACCTACTTATATTTCAAGTTAATTAAAAGCTTGTAAAAAACCTGACTGCTAAAAAACAATTCACACCGTTCGGTCGTCGCTGCGGCGCATTCGCGACTGGGTGCCCACCGAGAGTCCCGCGAACTCGAGTGGCGTAGGTATGACACGCTTTCCGACCGTTTGTATGAAGATAGAATACTTTATAGTTAATATTACCGTGATAGTACAGTCGTCGCGGCACGTAACTCTAGCGCTGCACAAAACGCGGAGGGGATAGTTGCATATTTTTTATTTTGAGTGTGTATCCTGTTGGTCCCAGCTGACCTTTACAGCGTCACCGGGTTTGGGGACGGCGAGATCCTAAGGGAACTTTAAGCCGAGAATTGGCGAATGCCTCGTAGAGGTATTCCAGGCGGATGGCATCTCCCCACGGGGGGAGTCTCCTCTCCGTCTGGAGCTTCTAGACCACTCGAATGTGAGGGGATTGGCTCAACTAGAGGCCATCTCTGAGAATCGGACCTCGGCTCTAGTTAGCCGTTGTCTAAATAGATATATGTATCGGAAAGCTGCGCATGGGCACTACTGAAGAACCAATCGGGGCAACAAACGCCCTCCCGCGCACTTCGTTTCCCCCCAACACATCTTAATTTTTACTTCTGCGCAATAACGGTCTACGCTAGTTTCGTGCCGCGACTTATACTTTCATGAAGAATCTCCTCTAAACTTATTATTTTTATAATAGTGCTTGTTTGAAAACTAGTCTGATCAATGCATGACCTTACATAATTTTATTTATCTTCTTCTATTAAAATAAAAATTAAAAAAATTACCCTTTTACTAATTGGAAGTATAAGACAAGTATTTTGGATTTGATCCACACTACTAATATTATAAATACAAAAGTGAAAGCTTTCACATCCGCGTTATCTTTAGTATTTTTTTTTAATTTAAACCTATTAATTTTCCGGGGCCAAAAGTTTTCTGCCCGAATCCAGGTCATTAACTAACTATATGTATACCAAATTTGATCCATGTCCGGTTGGTGTTTTTTTCTTAATTGATTATTTCATACATCCATACAAATTTGTTGCAACTTGTTGATTCATACATACATACCTACTTTTGCATTTTACTAGCGAAAAATCCCCCGGGAACGGCACACTTTTTCGGGATAAAAAGTCCTATATCGCTTTCCAGGTTCAGATGCGGCTCTATCTGACAGTACGATGAACAATTCCTACGTCATAAACCATCGGAACGGCTTGCAGTGCAGACTGTCAGATGCAGTTCTATCTGACTGTATGAGGGACAATACCTGCGTCATAAACCATCGGAACGGCTTGCAGTGCTGACTATCAGATGCAGTTTTATCTGAAGGTATGAGGTACAATACCTGCGTCATAAACCATCGGAACGGCTTGCAGTGCAGACTGTCAGATGCGGTTCTATCTGACGGTATGAGGGACAATTCCTGCGTCATAAACCATCGGAACGGCTTGCAGTGCAGACTGTCAGATGCGGTTCTATCTGACGGTATGAGGTACAATACCTGCGTCATAAACCATCGGAACGGCTTGCAGTGCAGACTGTCAGATGCGGTTCTATCTGACGGTATGAGGGACAATTCCTGCGTCATAAACCATCGGAACGGCTTGCAGTGCAGACTGTCAGATGCGGTTCTATCTGACGGTATGAGGGACAATACCTGCGTCATAAACCATCGGAACGGCTTGCAGTGCAGACTGTCAGATGCGGTTGTATCTGACGGTATGAGGGACAATACCTGCGACATAAACCATCGGAACGGCTTGCAGTGCAGACTGTCAGATGCGGTTCTATCTGACGGTATGAGGGACAATACCTGCGTCATAAACCATCGGAACGGCTTGCAGTGCACTGTCAGATGCGGTTCTGTCTTACGGTATGAGGGACAATACCTGCATCATAAACCAACGGAACGGCTTGCAGTGCAGACTGTCAGATGCGGTTCTATCTGACGGTATGAGGGACAATACCTGCGTCATAAACCATCGGAACGGCTTGCAGTGCAGACTGTCAGATGCGGTTCTATCTGACGGAATGAGGGACAATACCTGCGTCATAAACCATCGGAACGGCTTGCAGTGCACTGTCAGATGCGGTTCTGTCTGACGGTATGAGGGACAATACCTGCATCATAAACCAACGGAACGGCTTGCAGTGCAGACTGTCAGATGCGGTTCTATCTGACGGTATGAGGGACAATACCTGCGTCATAAACCATCGGAACGGCTTGCAGTGCAGACTGTCAGATGCGGTTCTATCTGACGGAATGAGGGACAATACCTGCGTCATAAACCATCGGAACGGCTTGCAGTGCAGACGGTCGCGTAGCTCCCTTTGAACGGTCAGATCGCCCGGATCAATCTGACGATATGAGGGACGCCTCTGGTACAAATATTCCGCATATTCGTCCATCCACACTTCGGCTACGCGGCGGTAGTTCTGGGTAATGGAAAAACGTAGACGATTTAAATTTAAAGATATATCCTGATATGAAATTAACAATTAGCTAGTAAAATAGAATATACAATATAGAAATATATTACTAGAAAATAAAATACGCTTTGTCGAGATTCGAAACCGGCGCCTTCCGGTATCCAGACGGAAGCATTTACTAACTATGCTTCCAAGACCTTAACGGCCGTCTGTTGCGCCCATAGACTTAGTATTTGAATGCGGTCAGAGCGATGACAACAGATTCGCAACACCGGTGCAACAACTGTCACTTATGCAAAAAAAAAACATTTTTTCAGGAGAAGCGTTTAAAACTTTAACATCCCAAAATACATATTATATTTAAAGTTTTTTTTAAAATTTTTTTTAGATGAATAGCTAAGTAGTATAAGCTTTTCATCATGTAAAAATCTTTATAGCACAGTGTGACCTAAACCCGCACTTTACGCACGCTTTTCCGTGACCTAAGTTGCCTATTTCTGCACGGTGTGTAAATGAATTGACCAACTTCACTCATGTAGAAAAAATAAAAAGAAACACATTTAAATGTCATTTGGAGCTTAAAACTCACAGTAAACAAATGACAAATTAGCGATAGGTTAGGGATTTTCAGTGACAGCCAAAACAAGGAGAAACGATTAGCTATAATTCATTCCGCGAGAATTGTATCTTTGTTTAATATATTGTTATGCCAATCAAGGAATAAACGTTCATGAATCTTGAGTTTGACTTGCAGTCTGTATTGCAATTCTTTGTGATTGCAATACATGAATTTTACTTTCAAAACACTAATCGCATCCCTCGTCGCACTAACCCCCCCCCCCCCCCCCCTCTAAATTAAAATTAATTTTTGATATTTTGCGTTTTTTCATATTTACTAATGGTTTTTAATCTACACACAGTTGACGTGACGACGACGAAATTAAAATGTAACCTACGATCCCGGAATCTCGTGATTTTTATTTTTAATTAAAATATCCTAAGAATATAATATTATTCCATAATTTGTTAGCTAAAAAATAACTTAATGTAAAAATATGCATCCTATTATCCGATCTCTATTCATAATACAAGTATTTAGTATACCTGGAGGAGCTCGATGGTGCAAGTGGTTAGCGCGTTCGGCTGCGATCGTTGAAGTTAAGCAACTTTCGCAGTGGTCGGTCATTGGATGGGTGACCAAAAACTTACTATCTCGAGCTCCTCCGTGCTATGGAAGGCACGTTAAACCGTTGGTCCCGGGTGCATCTGCAGTCGTTAGCACCCCCCAATCCGCACTAGGCCCGCGTAGTGGGTCGTGGCCCAATCTCCCTATTCCATCCATAGGGAAGGCCTGTGCCCCAGCAGTGTGAACATATAGTATGACGACCTCCGTGGCCGAGTGATTTATACGCCGGGTTTCATGGTGTCGCCGACTCGAGAGCTTCCGGGTTCCAATCCCGGTGAGAGCAGATGTTTGTGTGATGAAAAGGAGCATTTTTACTCCAGTCATGGATGTTTAATATGTATTTCTATATTAATATACTTATATATGTACAATATATGTGTTCTATCCGTTGCCCTAGTATCCCATAACACAAGCCTTACAGTGCTTACTTTGGGGCTAGGCTAATTATAGTCTGTCCATTATATTATTATCTTTTTGACAGATCGATCGAATTAAAAATAGTGACACCGTATCACATAACTCGATCGATTATAAGTATCGAAATTATTTTAGTTACCAAAAATACTGGTGTTTAATATATTATTACAAAATCTCATTAGATTTATTATTTTACCTAGTACAAATATTTATGTGATGAGCACGAGTATTTGTTCTGTGTCTGGGTGTGATTTATCTATATTATGTGTTTAAATACAACAAAAAAAGAAGTATACTTTTTATATGTTTGTTTATCCTAATACTAATACTCTGTACATTGATTTATTGATTATAATTAATAACTTCATTTTAAAAAAGGTTTAAAAAAACTATATCTTTGACCTTTTTTTTCCTTACAATTTGGTTGTACTCGTATATTTCTACCGATTATTTGTAATCTGTGGCACAATCTTAGTAATCATTATGTGTGGCACATCACAAAGTGGGCGTTACCCGTCCATGAAGTACAATATTATTTGTATGACAGTTTAACGTAAACAATACAAAATTTCATAGGCGTCGATCTGTCAAAAAGATAATAATAGAATGGACAGACTATTGTGTGAGTGTTGGAAATATTTATTATTTATTTATTATTATTATACCTTGCCCACGAAGTCCCCGTGGCCGGGATTGGGGAATGGCGCGAACTTTCTGTAGATGTGGCCCACGCGGGAACAAGGCGCGTCTACCATACGACCGCCGCATTGCCATATCTAAAATTTTCAAAATAAATTATTGGGTTTACCTACTATGCGAATATATGGCGCTGCCTTGCAGCCTTAGGCTAGAGAAAACTCGACACGGTCATCAGGGCCGTGGTAGCAAAATGGTCAGTGCATTCACCCGGTTAGCAAAGGGTGCGGATTCGAGTCCCGTCTGCTGCCTGGTCCGCGTGGAATTTTTTCTTGTATATTTTTCTTAGTAAATAAACTAATACGTTTTTTGATAAATACTAAGTTTTCATAGTATTGTGATGCAACCGTCATTATGCCTATTTCTTTAAACTTATCTCTTAAGGAGTCCTTAACTTTAAGATTATAAATTGATCGAATAGCCAACTTCTGCAACACAAATATAGTTTCAATGTCGGCGGCATTTCCCCACAGTAAAATACCGTAAGACATTACACTATGAAAATAACTAAAGTAGACTAATCTGGCAGTTTCTATATCCGTTCACTGACGTATTTTCATTACAGCATATGCTGCAGAACTAAGTCTCTTTGACAATTTATCAATATGTGGGCCCCATTGCAACTTTGAATCTAGTGTGATTCCTAAGAACATTGTGGTATCTACAAAGCTCATACTACGATCATTTATATTTACATTGGTTTTTACCTGTTTGACATTAGGTAATACAAATTTCAAACACTTAGTTTTTCCTTCATTTAGCAGTAAATTATTAACATTAGACTACCTTAGAAATAAGACTTGTTCACGTCGTCAATTTGCGACTGCCTACGTTTAATTTTAAAATTAAACGTACTTTTGTTTAAACAAAAGTGATATAAATTAAAATAAGAAAGGACCAAGGATTGAGCCCTGCGGAACTCCCATCATAACCGACGAACCAGGAAATTTTTCGCCATTGATGTCAACCCTTTGAACCCTATCACTCAAATATGATACTGTCAGAAGACAGAGTGGTATCTCTAAATCCATAGTGCTGTAGTTTCCTGATCAATGTTTCAAGAAAAACGCAATCGAATGCCTTTGATAAGTCACAAAACACACCAAGTGCATCATGCAAGTTCTCCCAGCCATCAAAAATTTGCTGTGCAAGCTCAACACCGGCATCGGTTGTTGATGTATGTATACATAAGTATGGAATATCGACTTACTTTGAAACTAAGCTCGTACTGCTCTCCTCCCCAGATGTCCAGGCCAGGGTCGTAACCTCCCAACTCCCAGAAGAAAGCGGTAGATATCGCGAACAAACCACCCGCCATCACTGGACTCCTGGCATTCGGATAATTGGAAAGAGATCAATGGTAATGGAAATGAAATTAAGCTCTGATGTCTAAACCCGGGTCGTATCCACCCAACACCTATATATATGTTACGCTCAAAGATCGAAAACGCTCAGTGAACTGAAAAATAGCTCACAACGCGTTGTGGTCCCAGTAAAACATCCTCATGGTGAAATTCAGTAGTCATGCTCTCATAATAGTCTCTTCGGCGGTGTCGTGTGAGGCGGGTCGTTACGTTCCCTAAAATATGGTTGAGCGAAGCGATGGCTGGTTCATGCGTCATGCTCGTGAACGGGTGCTGCCAGCGGAGATGAGTCTGCCATAACTTCCTTAATATTGAAGTTAATGTTTAGCCACACTGAATATAAATAACACTATTTGTATTTATACTGTATGACACAGCAATCAAAATGCAGGTAAACAATTAATGTATATTTAATAATATAATATTAAAATTTATCGCTATATGAAATGAAATGAAATGAAATGATGAAATGAAATGAAATGAAATGTCATTTATTCAGTCTAGGCTGTTACAAGCACTTCTGAAGGTCAAGAAGCTACGCCATCGGTTCGCAAAACTACGGCGGGAGACCTTGTACTGAGAAGAACCGGCAAGAAACTCAGCAAGGGCTGTTTTTTTCTCCCTGTATTGTTATATACAGTGTCGTCAAGTTGAAAAATTACTTCAGAAATACGTCTGAAGTCACTTTCCATTACATCATCTAGAATATAAATATGTAGTTACAATTAATTTTATAGTTAACATTTTAAGTAGTATATAGGAAGCGGCATTAGATAGGTACAATATTGTTATGAAAAATGAGTAATACCCATTTAATATCAAATTATAAGAAACACTATGTCCATGCATTACGATCATTTAGATAATCATCAACTTTATAATAGCCCTTATTCATAAGAGTATTTTTGATCTGAGATTTAAATTTAGTCAGTGGAAGCTCAATCAGATCTTGAGGAACTTTGTTAAACAATGCAATACTACAACCCAGAAATGAACCTCTTGATTTTTGGAGTCTGAAACATGGAACGGCAAGCTTGTTCTTAAATCTCGTGTTAAAGTTATGGGTTTGACTTTTTTTTGCAAATTCATCATAGTTTTTTCTTACATATATTAAATTTTCATAAATGTATTGCGACGCCAGTGTTTAAATATTAATTTCTTTAAATTTTTCTCTAAGGGATTCTCTTGCCTTTAAATTGTATATGGCGCGAACAGCTCTCTTTTGCAGTATGAAAATACTTTCGATATTAGCGGCTGAGCCCCACAACAAAAGGCCATATGACATAACACTATGAAAGTAACCAAAGTAAACTAATCTTGCCGTTTCCACATCAGTTAAGAGTCTTATTTTTTTAACAGCGAATGCTGCAGAGCTCAATCTATTTGACAAGGCATCAATATGAGGATCCCATTGCAGACGAAATCTAAAGTAATACCCAGAAACTTTGTAGAATCCACTAACTCTACAGGCTGGTCATTTATTTTTATACTAGTATTAACCTGCCTCACATTAGGTAGAGTAAACTTAACGCATTTTGTTTTACTGGTTAAGTTTTAAATTATTTACCGTAAACCAGTGAAGGACTTCAGAGAGAGCACAATTTACTTCGTCATAACAATCATTTCCTCTTCTAGCTTTAAACAATAAAGAGGTGTCATCAGCAAATAGTACTGTCTCACACAAATCTCTTGTAAAGTGAGGAAGGTCATTGATATAAATAAGGAAAAGCAATGGGCCCAATATTGAACCCTGGGGCACGCCCATAGAAATGGGTGCTCCTGTAGACTCAGCTTCATTTATAACTACTTTCTGAATCCTAGCAGAAAGATAAGACTGTATCAGACTTAGTGAAATATTTGATACACCATAATGCTTCATTTTATTTAACAATGTTTCATGGCTAACGCAGTCAAACGCCTTTGATAAGTCGCAAAAAATGCCAATAGCATCGTGCTTACTCTCCCATATATCAAAGATGTGTTTGAGAAGTGCAGTTCCAGCATCAGTAGTACTTTTGCCTCTAGTGAAACCAAACTGTTTTAAATGAAATAGCTTATTTATAGAAAAGTGTGCTAGTAATTGGTTATAAATTATTTTCTCAAATACTTTACTTAGCGCTGGTAATACAGATATAGGCCTAAAATTGCTGGGATCTGATTTGTCATCAGCCTTAAAGAGAGGGATAACTTTAGCACATTTCATTAGATCTGGAAACACTCCCTCATCAATACATTTGTTAAATATAATGGCCAGTTGTGACGCAATAACAGTGATAATCGGTTTAATTATATATGTTGATATTCCCCAATAATCCTCTGTCTTTTTAATTTTAATTGAGTTAAAAGTTTTTATAATACAGTCGCTACTGATATGTCTAAAATGAAAATCATTACTGCACTTATCAACACTTGACTCAAGGAGGGTCATTGCTAACCTAGAACAAGAATTAAGATTTCTAGTTGTTTCAAATGGTGCACTAGAAAAGAAATTTTCAAAAGTGTTTGCAACGGCATCATCTGTCCTAATAATCTTATTGTCTATTTTTAAAGAATATGTGTGTTCATTAAATTTATTTCTTCCAGTTTCATTATTAATTATATTCCAAGTTGTCTTTATTTTATTATCGGAAAGACTATTTTTTTTTGATAAAAACTTAGCTTTTGCTATGGCACACACCTTTTTAAAAGTTTTTGAATAGTTTTTGACATATTCTATAAACTTAGGATCAGATGAGGTTGCCTTGAGAGCATACAATTGATACAACTTATTTCTACTTTTGTAAATACCCGGTGTGGCCCAATCACTAAATTTCTTTTTAAAGCTATGGCATTTAATAACTTTGCGTTTGAATATTATATTAAATTCATCTTTAATTAAATTGAATAAATCTTCATACAAAATATTATTATTACTACAAACTGGTAAGTACGATATTTTTTGTGATAAACGCTATCTTGAAATTTATTTATACCTGTTTGTGTAATTGGTCTACAAGTTAGGTCATGTTTGGGTGAAGCATGATGGTGTTCAATAGAGGTTAATTGTCCGCTATGATCAGAATTAATACAATTTATTATTGATTTATTAAAAACATTTCTATTACAAAAAATAGTATCTAAACAGGTCGCTGATGCATGTGTGATGCGGGTAGGCTCAAAGAAGGTATGCTCCAAGTTATATGATTTAAATAAGTTTAGAAACCTACTCACTAATGGACACTTAACTAAAATTTTTATATTAAAATCACCACACACAACAACCACTTTATTACATCTACATACTATATTGAAAGCATGGGGGCCGATATACACATATTATGATCATTTCTTCAAGTTCCACACAAGATATTTCTATATTACGTTCAACTGAAAGTGTAACAATATCTGTACGTTCTTTGTATTTAAGATTGTGCTGTAAGATTATGAGAGAGCCTCCCCTGATAGCCGATTTCCTACAAAAACTACTAACAACTGTATAATTATCTAAGCCTGTAACTAATTCATAATCTCTGAGCCAGTGCTCTGTAATACATAAAATGTTTATATTCATTGTATTTAAAAATAAGCATAGTTCTAAGTCTTTACCAGAAAAGCCTTGTATATTTTGGTGAACAATATTTAGAAATTTAGACTTTTCCTTGGTCATGATATAGCTATAGAGCTCCTCTGTTGTCTTACGAACTAATTTAAATTACAATTAATGTCAGTATTTGGAACAAATTCCAAAGTCTGATCCACATAATTATGCTGCTCAATAGAAGCAGTAGTGTTAGCCAAGTTTTTGGCTATGTGTGTAAAATAAAATAATAGCGAAGAAGCTATTTGTCTCTTGTAATTTGGTAATATGAAAGATAATATTTATCTCTTGTCATTTTAAAATTATATATTAATTTATTTATATCAATTAAATGTACTTTTTGACCACTATACTGAGACATGGTACTTAATGTCAAATTTAGCGTGTACCTAATAGTATTTTCTTCACTTGATAGACTCTTACTATAAGGAAATGTATACATAACTATTCTATTTACATTTAGAGAACACAAAGAGTTATAGTAAGTCATAATGTCATTTTTGCCAACATTACCTCTATTACCAATTAAAATAAAAAATATTTACAAATCATTATGTAAAACTAAAAATAGTAACATTAACAATTTCACATCATAAAACTATAAAATACACTAACTATAAACAAATAAGTCTCTATCTAATCTATTAAAGTAGTCTCTATTTAATAATTATGTAATGAAAAGTGACTTCATGAATCACCTCTGAAGTCATTTTTCAATTTGACGACTCTGTAAATAATAAAACAGGGAGAAAAAAACAGCCCTTGCTGAGTTTCTTGCCGGTTCTTCTCAGTACAAGGTCTCCCGCCGTAGATTTACGAACCGATGGCGTAGCTTCTAGACATTCATGAGTGCTTGTAACAGCCTAAACTGAATAAATGATTTTGTTTATGATTATGATTATTCGTGTTATGGCTCTAATGAAAACGCGCACGACGCATTGTGGCAATCACAGACAGCATCCAAAAAAAATGACGAACTGTGACAAGGACGGGGAGAAGTAAAAACATCACGAAATTAGTGTGACCTTAAAACTTACGCGAATGGCTCCGGCATATTGGCTTCGTCTTTGGGCAGCACCGGCAACCTCTTGTAGAACAGTTCCCAGTCGAATGCCCCTCGAGCCCCTTCATCCTGAGCCCTATATTCGAACGAGTCGTATGCTATCACGTCGATGAATGGACACACGACGGTGCGATAGTCCAACGCGATAGGTTCTGTAAAAAAAAACAAAAAAATACTATTAAACTGTGCTGGCATCATTGACTCGCCCCACATGTAATAGGGTATTTTCTAAATTCAAACAATTTAACAGAAAAAAACAATGGGTGTGTGTACTTATGTAGGCGCGCGAGAAGTTATCCTTCTTTGGCATCGTTTAAAATTAGTTTTTAATTGCATGCAAATAATTAATTACAATAAATTAATAAAAAGTCTGGAAAAGGACACAGTCAATAAAGTTCAGTTTTAATTTGAAAAAATAAATAAATAATCAAAATATTCAATTAAAATCGCTACTGAATATAATTTATTAGAACATATGTGATTTGCACTTGTATGAAACTCAAACACGTATTCCGAATATACAAACTAGAAACTTGTGGATAAATATTATAAATATGAATACCTATAACTGTTACTTTATTACAAAAAATAAAGATGTGGTTTTTGGTTCTACTACACCAATGGTCAAGAGATGGCGCTGTAGTCTCCTGAATCGCGCTTTGGTTCCGTTGTTCCAGATTAATAAATACTTTTGATAGGCCTTCACAATGCAGTCGTTAGCACTAGCACCCACTAAATAGAGTATCTATTTCTATTTTGTTGGTAGATTTTCTTAGTGTGCGGTAAACACAAAAGTTCCACCTTCATGCTGTTAAAATTTTGTGTTACAGTGATGCACGCGCATCTTAAAATTTCACTCACATATTTTTTTCATAACGCGCCTAAAGAAGTATAACTTCAATAAAAATAAATTAATTAATGTCTTTTTTTTCCATTAAACCAATTTAAGTTAAATTTATTTTTAATGGTTTTGAATTTACCGTTAAAACGAAAAACGTGAAACTTTGTTTACACAACGTTAATCGGCGAAAGGTTCACTTAACCTAAAAATTTATTATTTAGATAAATAGCTATGTAATCATCTGTAAGTCAAATTACTAACATTTTTTACCGTCAGGATAATTTTATAGTATAATACTTACACAAAATTTTTGATGATTCGAAACTCTGATGAATTTGCAACCATAAAAACACCTACTACAGGAAGATTTGCACTGTCTGCTTTCAGAAATATCTTCTGTTCCTAAGTACAATTTCACTAGCCCATAAACATGATTATCGAAAATTTTCTCGATACATTTTGTCTTTAAAAAATGATCGATTTTTTTACTTAGGAATCAAATATCTCAATAACTAATATGACTATAAACACGAAACATGCTTTGTTACATAGTTTTTTAATCAATCTAAGTTCTTGCTTAGTGAAATTTAGATACGTTTAGTATTTACTTTCCCTAAATCGCCTTACTTAATAAATGAATAGCCCCATATAAGATTACTAGTTCGCCATGTTGGATGTAAAAAGACGTAACCTAGCTCAACATCAATTACCTTATCATCCTAATTAAACTTGTATGCAACGTTTCATTTCAATCGGTTGAAGATAACTGCTTTAAAATTCAGTTGTAAATTATGACCCTAACATACAAACAATTATAATTGACGCTTAAAAATTCTCGAAGAAGTAAATAATTCACACATATCTATCTCCGTGTCTGTGTTACGGATACTTTTCCGAATTTCATATTTGTTTAAACCTGGAATTCAAATAACAAACACGCATTCCGTATTTGCGTTAAAAATTTTGTGATAACTGACACCATTAAAACCAGTATGTACGTCGTTCGATAACAAATAACGCAGCCAACAAATTGATAAAAATTGCTAAATTTTACTAGTTATAACTTTGTCAGTGCATTCGCCCGGATTGCGAAGGGTGCGGGTTCGAGTCCCGTCTGCTGCCTGGTCCGCGTGGAATTTTTTCCTAGTTATATTTTCTTTAGATTTAAACATCCAGCAGTTACATGCTTTAAAATAATAAAAATTATAGTTATAACTTATTTTCGTAGTGCTACTATGCTTTTTCGACAGTGTGATCCAAATAATGGCGCGATTACACATGGTCGTTAGCCCGAATACGAGTGCCAATGGAATTCGGGTAAACGACTTAGTGTAAATGAACAGAGTCGAGTTTCTGGTTCCTGAGGGTCTCTTAAAAACTAAAGTTAACGCGGACGAAGTCGCGGGCGACCGCTAGTATATTATACAGAGAGTACATTTTTTTATGCCTAAACATACACGACAGGGCATTCCTAAACATTCCTAAACTTTGTTAAATCAGTTTTATTTTTTATTTTTAGTCATAATTTTTATTACATTTACATTTGTAATGACTTCATGAATAATCTCATATTATAGTAATTTTTCAATTTGACGACTCTGCATATAATACTGGGCAAAAAAACAGCCCTTGCTGAGTTTCTTGCCGATTCTTCTCAGTATAAGGTTTCCCGCCGTAGATTAGCGAACAGATGGCGCAGCTTACGACATTCACAAGCCTGAATGCTTTTAGCAGCCTACACCCTGGGTTCCGAACCTGGGGGTAATTACCCCTCCTGGGGTAAATCAGCCATACTTCGGGGGTAACAAAGAACTATATTATTTGGTCAAATCTAAATAATATGAAAATACTATATAATAATATACTACTAAATAGAGCATGCGCTCCTTCTTGCTAGCGAGCCCGCAGGGTGCTGAGTTTGGGAAGCGGGGCGAGATTTCCTCTTGATGATGACATTATTAAAGACGAAGATGTAGCGGCCAAATTAGAATTTCTTGGACTGATGATAATATTTTAAAGTCGGGGTAAAATCTGGTTTCCTTATAGGTAACAGGGGTAGCAGTATTGGAAAGGTTAGGAAACACTGGCCTAGACTGAATAAATAATATTGATTTTTTATATTCTCTTTTTCAATTTTACATGCTTTTCAACAGTGTTAACCAACTAATACATACACAGACCTAGCAGTGGTGGCAGCCAGTTGACATTAGCCTCTGTATGGGAGTCCAGGAAGACCAGAACGTCAGACGTGGCCAGTTTAGCACCGGCGAGTCGCGCCGTTATCAAACCGCTGCGATTAGCCACTCTTACAACCTTCACTTTTGGCATGTACTTCGCTAGGTAAACTTCAAGGTCCTTCTTGAGGAAATCTGAAAGAGAGTATTAGAATTTACATAATTCCCAAAAATTACGTTTGGTTTTTCTATAGGCACGAGTTAAGGTAAAGTTACGCTATGGAGTTTTAATTTGGGGTAATTCTGTTCATAGAGATAAAGCATTTTTAATACAAAAAAAATGTATTCGTGCTATATTTGGTTTGAAGCAAATTGATTCCTGTCGACCTTACTTTAGAAACTATAAGCTGTTGACTTTGCCTTGCCTGTGTATTCTTGATATATGTATATTTGTACACCAACATAAGTATCTATTTAAAGAGAATCATCAAAAAGTAATCGAAATTTACGCTCAGTTTATAAAAATAAGCTCCATAGGCCTGCTACAAAATTGTCTTTAGCAGCTAAAAACACTATTATTATGTGCATTAAAATTTACAATAAATTACCAGACAAGATCAAAGAACTAAAACTTTTTAAATTAAAAAAAATACTTAAGGATTGGCTTAGCCAAAAATGGTTTTATAGTATCCAAGAGTATTTAGAATATAAATAGGAATATTCAAATGGTTCCTATACGTACAATATAAATGTGTATACACCTGAAAAGGTAGGATCAAATGGCACTGTACATTAGCATTACGACCTGTATTTTCATGTTACCTTGTTCCATACACAATAAAGATATTTTTAAAAAAAAGGAGACACTTTCAACGACGTCGTCGTTTCGACAGGAAATCTGTGAAGTTCTATTTTGTACATTTGCAAAAATTAAAGGATTAATTATCATACAGCCTTGTCTCAAGTCTGATCAGAATAATAAAATCTCTTATTTTAGGCCTTCACTAATTTGTTGTAATAAAAATTAGGGTCAAATATGTTATAGTTTGAAAGAGTTTAGAAATAATATTGTTTATTTCGAAATACTTACACAAATATTTTTTGTGTACATTTATTTTGTAAAACGGAACATTTTGCTTTTGAAACAGACATGAAGTCAATTTCTGTACTTTTAAATATTTGATTATTTCACGAAAGTTGTATGAGAATAATAAACACTTAATAATTAATAAAAAATATTGTAAAGTTACTGGCTATTGCGAAATATTTATGGGCAGTTTCTTAGCCATGTCCTTTCTGAAGTCATCAATTATGCTAAAAAAAATAAAGTCCTTTAAGGATAACCATATATTTGATTTTTTGTGGAAATGGTGAAGGTTTTATGTTTCGTTTTTCCCAATAAATTCGAAAATGTCATTATTTTTATGATAACTTGCTCAATTTTGATGCTATTAACTTTTTACAGTACACATTAGAAAGGTATTTCCGAGGACTTTAAAAAGTGTTCAGGAAGTATATGTCATAAAATGCATCGGTTTCCCATTATTTAGGTTTTTTTTATAAATATTTCCAACACCCACACCAATTAGCCTAGCCCCAAAGTAAGCACTGTAGGCTTGTGTTATGAGATACTAGGGTAACGGATAGAATACATAAACTGATACATATGTAAGTATATTTATATAGGAATACATATTAAACATTCATGACTGGAGTACAAATGCTCGTATTCATCACACAAACATCTGCCCCCACCGGAATTCGAACCCGGGACCTCTCGAGATGGCCACGCCTTGAAACCCGGCGTATAAACCACTCGGCCACGGAGGTCGTCATACTTTTGAATACTTAGATTTAAGTACTCGCTGAAAAAGAAATATACATACAATAGGCTAGTTTACTCATGTCAAATTGTATTAAATAAATGTTTATTTCTTAAAGTATTTAGTCTAAGGAACCTTAATATATCGATTTCACTTCATAAAAGCAGAAGATTGCTGTAGAAATTTAATTTTAAAAAATATTTTTTAGTCTATATTTTTTAAACACTAAAAACGCTGTTCGCCACATCCGCCATGATTTTGACGTCTCTTCTGGTAAACAACTAAATGTCATTCGCGTGTTACTGTAGGTGGATTCTTTCGTCTGACTAAATTTATCATAAAACACTTTTAACTTTAGGAAAGAAAAAAACAGTAAACTTAGTTTTTTTTTGACAAAACTAATTATGGATTACAAAACTAAACCGGCTTTGTGAAAGCAGAAAGCACAAATCTGCCAAGAATTGACGCATTGATGGTTGGTGAATTTGTTGCACTAAACCCCGATTTCTGCTCTGCGGAGCAGAGAAACGACAAGGCATCTATGTAAGTACAGTGCATTTAGTATTACAATGTAGTAATAAACATAAAACTGATACAACATATGAATAAGTGTAATAAAGTTGCGTAGGTTAATTTCTTTCGGCACTTTAATCGACAACTTTCCTGGAGTCTTCAAGGATGTGTTTTTATATTCTCGTACAATACAGTAATGATAATTACTTTATTTTTCGTGGTATTTATTAGAAATCATGTTTTTGTTTATTATAAACTCAGTTAAAAGTAATTTTCTACGTGTTTACGAGTTTTTGTTTACGACAGTTCACGTCATAGCATAGATAATCTATAGACTAAAATGGCCGACAGCGTTTTTGTATGTCCATGAAAAGTCTATTTTAAAATTAAAGATTTGTAGCTTTCTAGGTTTAAAAAAAATACAATACATTTTTTTTCGGTCTAATAGAACATTAATTAACCATTTAAAACCTTTTTCCAAAAAGGGTCAACTAGCCTATTACCTATAGCTCTTTGTATTAATATAAGGTTTTTCAAACTAGAGGTAGTTTTTTTTTATAAGCTTCAATTTTGGTAATTATACATTCTTTGTAAAAACTTAGTTTCTGAGTTATTTATGAAAATCCCCTTTAAAACATGTATTTTTCTCACGAAAACTCACAATCTTTGATCTTTAATAACTCAGAAAGTATTGATTTATGTCAAAAAGTTCATAATCATAATAAATTTTGTTTATAATTTGTCTCTCTATCGACTCCTGGAGTTATTTTTATTAAATAATTTTCACCCCCCGAGAAAGGGTGGCATCTACCCCAGAGCAAAAGCGCAAGTTGGCACTATATCACTTTTGTTTCTTAATGTATCCCCCACAAATCGATGGAGGTTCAACGAAATCGGAGGTTGTAGCTGATTTTTGCCTAAATAACTAACTCCACGCGTATGAAGTCGCGGGCGGCAGCTAGTACCTACATAATCATATGTATGCAGTACATATTGTCACAAATGTTTAAGTAGTCAACAATGCGCATCGTGAGAAACCACGAACAATAAGCTGTAACTCAACTCACTGACAGCATTGATTGTATGGTACTACGATAACATTTTACGCATGTAAACGGTGCTGCAATACTCTTAAAGATAAACATTTTACACAACGTCCTTAAACAACTTTCTTTAAGCATGCATACTATTCACTAAGGTTTTGAAGGAGTCATTTAAACAATAATAATAAATATCTTTATATATATAATTCTTCTGTGAGTGTGTATGTCACTGAACTTCTCTTAAACGACTGGACCGATTTTGATGAAATTTTTTGTGTGTGTTCAAGGGGATCTGAGAATGGTTTAGATTCACAATTTTGTCCGCTGGACAACCCCTATTTTTTTAGGGCGGTACGAAGTTCGCTGGGTCAGCTAGTTTATTATAATAATCTATATTAGTAAGGCCCGCGGTAACATAATGGTCAGTGCACTCGCCCGGATAGCGAAGGGTGCGGGTTCGAGTCCCGTCTGCTGCCTGGACCGCGTGGGTTTTTTTCTAGTATATTTTCTTTATATTAAAACATCGAGCAGTTACATGCTTAAAAAATAAAAATTACAAGTGTCTGAATTTAGTTTTATGCTATATATGCTAATATTATTTTAGAATTAACCAAAATGGGACTGAAGAAGCAGCAATAGCCAATGGCTTGTAACAAAATCAGTATAAATATAATGCGGTTCAAATAAGAATAGGAAAGCCAATGACCTCCATCTGTCAAATGTCGCTTGAAAAGTACGGTTTGCAAAAAAAACTCGGAACCGTTTTTTAGCACTGCTAATTCTAGAACAAAAGCCAAACATTTGTAAACAAACAATAACAAATATTGATAATTAATATCGGTTGGTATTTTTTTTTCACTTATTGAGCTTTGGCCATGAATGGTTGATAACTTAAATCGTCAACTAAATGTCACTTTAAGTTGCGTTCAGAAACTCGATTTCAAACTTTCATTTACATAAAGGATGCATGTTCGTATGTGACCTAGTAATAGTGCATGATTATTCATAACTACTCCGGCGGTAATGCAGAGATGAGCGGAATAGAAGAGCTAGATTCTGATTAATGTTTTTTCTCACAGTCTTTATTGATAAATATTATTAAAAATGGGTGTTTTTTTTTCTCAATCTTAGTAAATAAATGTTATTAAAAAAATCTGATGCTTATTCTCACTTAATCTTAGTAAATAAGTTTTATTAAATAAAAACTTTTTTTTGGTCACTCTACCTTTTTGGTTTGTCACAATATGGCGCCCAGTCGGTCCTATTCTTAGTTGAATCGCATTATACAAAAGCAAATCATAAACGATTTATTTGAATATCTTACCTTTGGTACTGGCATCATCGACTAGAAAAATCTCCTTGATTAAATGCTCCGGCGATCTGTACAATACACTAAAAGCTGTTCTAAGCAATGTGCTCCAATGTTCGTTGTGGAATGGCACTATCACGCTCACAGTGGGCAAAGATTCTATATACATTTTTTTCTTGCATCCCGGGTGTCTTATGTCTGGTAATGATCGGTTCAAAGGTATTCTGTCACTGAGCGCTCCATTGAATCCGTTTACTGAGTACAGTTTTTCTTCCAGAGCTCCATCAGTTTTTGGCAAGCTCGCTGGCCTACCTTGTTCACCGATACCTGATGTAAAAAAAAACAGATTTGCAACAAGATCTTTTGTGGCAGATTTTAATCTATCTTTATATATATAATTCTTCTGTGAGTGTGTATGTCACTGAACTTCTCTTAAACGACTGGACCGATTTTGATGAAATTTTTTGTGTGCGTTCAAGGGGATCTGAGAATGGTTTAGATTCACAATTTTGTCCGTTGGACAACCCCTATTTTTTTAGGGCGGTACGAAGTTCGCTGGGTCAGCTAGTATATATATAAAACTCAAAGGTGACTGACTGACATAGTGATCTATCAACGCACAGCCCAAACCACTGGACGGATGGGGGTGAAATTTGGCATGCAGGTAGATGTTATGACGTAGGCATCCGCTAAGAAAGGATTTTGATCAATTCTACCCCCAAGGGGATAAAATAGGGAATGAGAGTTTGTATAAAACTTTGTCAATTTTAAACCGATCGGGGTGAGACTTTGCGTGGAGGTATAAGTGGTATCATAGATGAATGTCATTGTCATGTCCAAGCCTGAGAACAAAAACTGTAGTCTACACTTCAGCTCTACACCGAAGCGAAGCGAGGGCGGGCCGCTAGTGCCTGATATAGAGGAGTCTGAAATCGAGATAGTTAAGAAAGTTTCGCAATACTTTTCCTTGCACACTCAGACGGTACGTTAATCCATCATCCCGGCTGCATCTGCAGTCGTTAGCCAGCCACCAAAATGCAAGGAGCGCAGGGCCGGACCGTGAGTTTAGGGGGCCCTGGGCTAATAGTACTTAGGGACCCACCTAATTACTCAAAGTATAGAAAAAAAAATGACAGTAAACTATTTAATTTAAATTATATTATGCCTTAACGTCAAACAATCGTTAACAAATGGACAAATTACAAATAAACCTTTCTACAAAGTGCAGAAATGGCAAATTCTTTATTTTGCTCCTACCATTATAGGGGTAATATCAATGGAGTTATATTCAACAATGTATTTTTACGTGATTTTCATGCCTAACGTAATTTCCCCTTTTACATTAATAGGCAAGGCCTTTGTCCCAGCTGTGAGGACATTAAAAGGGTGATGATGATGAAATTATTATTAAATCTCATGCTGAAGCGGAAGTAAAAGAAAACCAAAGTATACACCACCTGCTATTTAAATTATGTAGTCCCAAAAAAAACTAGTTTTAACTGGTTAATGCACGAAATTTATTTTTCAGGTCTGCATCGTCAGAATAATGATTTTGATGAAATAAATTTCGTTTTTTAATTTTATCATTAAAAAATCATTATTCTGACGATGCAGACCTGAAAAAGCTGCGAAACGTCAATAAATAAATAAATTTCATGCATTAACCCGTTAAAACTAGTTTTATTTAATGAGTGATGTGCGTGAAAACCTACGAAACAAATATGTAGTCCCAAACTAAGTAGAGCTTTTACTGTAGAAACCGAATATTATGGTGCTCATCACACAAATAAATGCGTTTACCGGGATTCGAATCCAGTCCCCGTAGCATGAGCAATTCATTTTACATTATATCACGTTTTTTACGCGTCTAACCGTCAAACTCCAAAGTAATTTGACAATTGAGCATGATAAAAACACGTTATATATCATTTCGCGGTGCTCATGCTAAGGGGACTGGACTGTGTATGTTAATGGCAACGTGTTAGTGGAGAAATTTTCTGCCGCACAACTGTTCATAAAAGTCAAGGATGGAAAACTGCATCACACGAGTAGGGGGCTGCCATTGGCCGATGTAACGACAGCTACAGTTTTATATGCCGTTCAGTTGAACCCCCCGCCCCCTCCCCCGGTATAGGCACTTACGCCATCAGTCGCATATGTGCAAGGTTTGTACTTGGAAGTCCTCGGTTCAGGTTTGAAAAGATATGTTAAAGTGTAACTCAGTTTCAAAACTCGGAATATAATTTGTATTCCAAAGTGAAAAGTCAGTCCAATAGTACATATTATAATGCGATTCAACTAAGAATAAGACCGACTGGGCGCCATATTGTGATGTCACAGCTGTCTATTCAAACCAAATAGGTAGAATGAGCAAAAAAAGCTTTATTTAATAAAACTTATTTACTAAGGTTAAATGAGAAAAGGCAACAGATTTTTTTAATAACATTTATTTACTAAGATTGAGAAAAAAATACCCGCCGATTTTTAATAAAATTTATTTATTAAGACTGTGAGAAAAAACATTAATCAGAATCTAGCTCTTCTATTTCACTCATCTCTGCATTACCGCCGGAGTAGTTATGAATAATCATGCACTATTACTAGGTCACATACGAACATGCATCCTTTATGTAAACGAAAGTTTGAAATCGAGTTTCTGAACGCAACTTAAAGTGACATTTGGTTGACGATTTAGGTTATCAACCATTCAGGGCCAAAGCTCAACAAGTGAAAAAAAAATATCTATCGATATTAATTATCATTTTTTATTGTTGTTTGTTTACAAATGTTTGGTTTTTATTCTAGAATTAGCGAAGTGCTAAAAAAGGGTTCCAAGGTTTTTTTGCAAACCGTACTTTTCAAGCGACATTGACAGATAGAGGTCATTGGCTTTCCTATTCTTAATTGAATCGCATTATAATGACTTTGTAGTAAATATAATACACATACCAACACGTTTTCGTTCATAATCTATCTGGGTGTGGTTATGCCAGTCCTTTTTCTGAAACACACACACACACTTCATAATTTATCAAATATTTATACACAGAAGCGCAGCTCTACAAAATAGAAACGCGAAGCGAAATGGGCGCCGGCGCACGCACGCAGGCACAGGCTTGAATCTAACTAGTTCGGCTGGAAATGGAATATTTAGTAATTTACTTGTGTTATAATTTTTTTTTTTTAAAGCATTAACTGCTTGATGTTTAAATCTAAAGAAAATATAACTAGATTTTTTTAGCAAAACGTAGAGGCCTACTTAAAACTACTTATTATTATAAGGGTAAAATTTCTTTTACTTAAATGATATATCTTATTTTCGAGGAGGAAATCGTCGAGAGCCAAACCTCTAATTTAGCATTTTTTATACGCGCTTTTCAGCGTTAGCTACTGTTGTTGTGTTGGCACACATAGCTAGAGGAATTTCGACGCGGTCCGTGAGGGCCACGGTAGCATAATTGGTCAGTGCATTCGCCCGGATTGCGAAGGGTGCGGGTTCGAGTCCCGTCTGCAGCATGGACCGCGTGAATTTTTTTTTCTAAAAAATTTTTTCTAGTTATATTTTCTTTAGAATTTACTTGTAAATATTTTTTTCGATAATAACGAAAAAAAAGTAACATTGGATACTTCGGGACATACTTATTTAGGGCATATTACAAACTACTTTCCGCCCGCGTCTTCGTTCGCGTTAACTTTAGTTTTATGAGAATCCCACAAGAACCTAACATTTTACTTGAAGTATATTCTTACGGAATAAAAAGTATCCTGTCTCAATCCTGCCCCCTGGATATAATATGAACATTATATCACATTTATTATCGCGTGTAACTGTCAAACTCCATAGTAATTTGACAATTCAGCGTGAAAACAACGCGTATCATATTACATATATTGCGGTGCTCATGCTAGGGGTGCTGGTAGTAAACTACAAGTGTAAATGTAAATACACATACATCTTTCCCATTTATAATATTAAGGAAGGTAGGAATGAGAAAGTAGGATAGTAAGATATTCGTATATTATTAATAGCAGGATCAAGCTGACCAGTGAGCAGAGAACTTTGGTCAAATCGAGCAGGCTAACTCATGTCATGGGTTCGACGGTATATAACTTGTTACCTAAGTTGGTCACTGACGTAAAGTTTCATAATATTTTTAAACATAAATTAAAGTTATGGCTCATTGAAAGAACTTTTTATAGTGTCGATGAGTTTTTGAATCCTTGCATTAATTAAACTGATTAATATATTTTTCTATAATATTTAATGACTATTTTTTTATTGACGTGACAACGTCTTAAATTAGGTTGCGGCTGGGAGTCACTTATGAAAAAGTGTAACGCTCGGTAACGTTACGATGAGTCTCTCGTGTTAAGTTTAAGTTTACATGTACAATGTTTTAGTAAACAAAATATATTTCTATAGTTAAAATTTGTGCAATTCTTATTTTCATTCAATTCCTTGTTCCTATTGTGCAATTTAATTATATTCATATCAATAAATATTCTACCGAGAAAAAGACGTTGTCACGTAAAATCTTCGCCCGTAAAACCGACTTTACAGGCAACCATTTTTTTTTTATTAATTTATATGTGACATTTAACTTTATTGAGTATAAATATTGTATTTTAATATAATTTGAAATTGACATAGGAATTGAATGTTGACATGTTTGAATTCATTGAAAGTATAGTTAATACTCTATGTATTTTCATTATATATGATTGACGTGTAATATATTACGAAATAAATGATTATGATTTCTCACGAAACGGCACGTCAACTGGAAATAATCTAGACTGAAAGTATGTGTGCTGTTCGTTAATATGAGCGTGAGAGCTCGGATTCACCCACAGAATATAGAAAGAAGTTTTGGTCATGTTATGAGCATTTGACATCAATTCGACACGGCCATCAGCCGCGGTAGCATAATGGTCAGTGCATTCGCCCGAATAGCGAAGGGTGCGGGTTCGAGTCCCATGTGCTGCCTGGTCCGCGTGGAACTTTTTCTAGTAATATTTTCTTTAGATTTAAACATCGAGCACTCACATGCTTAAAAATATAAATTATAGTTATGAGCATTTGCTCATAACTGTGGCGCGCCTGCCCCGCCTACAAGGCCCTTCTAACCTGTTTTTGTGGTCTGTGGATACACCTAATCCTTTATCAGCCGAAACCTATCTAATGTATTTAATATAATGTGCCAATATTTAAGAGGGGAGGCGGGCAATGTTCCATACAAACGTTCTCGACTGATTCCTCTTTGATTTTTATCGCAAAAAAAATGATTTTTATATATAAAATATAATTTCAGTAATTCTATGCTCCTATGTCTTCCTTTTTTGATAACTTGTGTTTCAAACCAGCTAGAAGCTCGCAAAAATGCCGAAAATGAACATATTTTTATCGCCACTAAAGACGTCTAGTATGGAGATTCAATGAACATTTACAAAAAAAGCAAAACGTAAAGGCCTAGTATTATCATATGGGTAAAATTTCTTTTACATATATCTAATGTACGAGGAGGCCGAAAAGGTCGAGAGCCAAATTTCCAATTGTAACGTGTTAAAAACGTCACATGGATCTCCTTCGCTCGAAGAGCGAGATAGAAGATTTTTTTGGTTGTCTCTCTGGTCGTTTTTTATCTCGCGCCCATTTCCTTTAATCTGTGCACTTTTGGGTAAGTGTGTTTCTGCCTTTATCGAGCGGTAGGCTGAAAGGACATTGTTCTCTTTGCCTACCGCCCAGACAAACTAAGAAAAGAACTGTCACTTCACTTCACGACCAAAATTTTTACGAGGAACATGTGAAAATTTAAATCTTAATTTTTATCATGATAATCCATTGGATTTTCAATTGTTTTTGATGATATAACATTTTGCAGCTTTTGATCGGAATGGCGGATATCGCATTCCAAGCTTAATTTGTTTAAAAAACGCGAAAAGCGTTTTTTTTTTATTTTGGATTTTATAATGAACTTTCAACATTTCCCATGATGAGAAAGTGAACAGTCCCGTGATGTAACAGCGACATCCATTTAATATTACAATTGACACCAGACATAGCCACTACACAGATGCAACAAGTTCGGTAACTTTCCAAATTCATTGTTGTACCGGAACCCATAAGGTAAAATTTTCATTTACATTTTAGTAGCCATAGTATAATAAGTTGTTTCTAAATTTAGCAGTAACCCTTTTGGACTTAAGTAGTTTTGTAGTAAATTTAAATAAATCGACAACCCAAAATGAATATGGTTTTGCAATCAAGCCTTCTCTTGTGATTAATAGTCCTTTGCTTTCCCGGCTAATATGGTTTAATAATATGGTATGGGTCTGGCGCCCGAGTATTCTTTTTTTCATTAATTTCGACCTATCCATTTAAAGTAAATTTCTCTCAAACTTTTTATTTTTTAATATTACACAATTTAGCAATTTTTTACGCGGTTTTCAGCATTATCTACTGTTGTCCCTATCGCACGGTATTTGCCAATGCGTGACAGCAATTTTTTTTTTCAAATATGTACCTACGAGTATTTCTTCTCTTTCTCTTAAGTTAGCTACTGTTGTTGTGTTGGCACACATCAGCCAATGATAATAATTCTCAAATATGTCTCAGCTCGCTCCGGCTCTTATACCGGCCATACACACTACCAGAAATCGTTACGATTAGACTGTACAGTCCGAACGGTACCGATAAATCGTAGCGTGTATGTTATAAAACTGCACAGTTTCCTATACTAAACGAAATCGTATAAACTGTTCCGTTCGAACTGTACAGTCTGATCGTAACGATTTCTCGTAGTGTGTATGGCCGGTATTAGGCTCGTATTACAAAATGACAACTAAATTGACTAAGTTGTATTTCTGTAATACGAGCCTAAATCTGTAGTTAATTAAAACAGTTTTCACTACTACAACCGCCATCGTCCGATGATGCCCACCCGGATTCATACATTTTGACTTTTGATTCAATCGGACTATGATAAGGATAAGATGTACCCGAGCCCTGAGACCGTATCATTAGTATTAGTCTGTGGTTAGGCTTTGGTTATATTATTAGTGTCCCTTTACACATGGTCTCCGTTTTACTGGTCCGTTTTATCGGATACGTTTTTTTCATCAATGGCGATATTTTTACATACAACTATAAACGCCAATAATGTATACGTTTATACGGACCAGTAAAACAAACAACTGCATATATTTATGTTTTTATTTATTTTTAAGCATTTAACTGCTAGATGTTTAAATCTAAAGAAAAGTTTACTAGAAAAAAAATCCACGCGGACCAGGCAGCGGACGGGACTCGAACCCGAACCCTTTTTTTTTCTAGTAAACTTTTCTTTACATTTAAACTGCATATATTGTCTATATTTTTTACTGGATTCGCAATAATGTTTTGAGTGTGAGCTCACACTTGCATAACTACCATACGAAAAGGGCTTATCAGTGCAAGATAACATATAATACTAGTACAATGAATGCAAAAGTAGGGCATGTAGTTGACCTTTTAATCTTAACCAGGGATTAATAAAGTGATATTTAGAAATATTTTTTATTTTTGAAGCGTGTAACTGCTGGATGTTTAAATCTAAAGAAAATTTTACTAGTGGGTTACCTACAATACGAAGAGATGGCACTGCCTTGCAGCATAAGAAGGGCTACAGAAAATTCGACACGGCCACCAGGGCCGCGGTAGCATAATGGTCAGTGCATTTGCCCGAATAGCGAAGGGTGCGGGTTGAGTCCCGTCTGCTGCCTGGTCCGCGTGAATTTATTTCTAATATACAGATATTAATATAATTTAAAATTTTCATTTTGTTTTAAAATATTTTTTTACTCACCTTATAACTGGAAGGTACAAAATGTGTGTTTTTTTTATGGCCAATGATTTGTGGTTCAACCTGAGCAACCCTCAAATTTAAAACTTCTGGCAGATTATTAACCTGCATACTGCTGAGATGTTTAAGCAAATACAGTATTATTACTATCACTGTAATAGTTATAAGGTTTCGTAACCTCGTCAACCGTAGAAAACATCTCCTCATTACAACCATGATCTGTAATAAAATATAATAAGATAAGATAAATATAAGTTATCTAGAAAGTAATTCTAATCTATACTAATATTATAAAGCTGCAGAGTTTGTTTGTTTGTTTGTTTGAACGCACTAATCTCTGTAACTACCGGTCCAATTTGAATGATTCTTTCAGTGTTGGGTAGTCCGTTTATCGAGGAAGGCTATAGGCTATATATTTTTAATTGGACCACCAGATAGAGAATATATTTGTTAGACGTCCCAGTAATTTGCCCGTTTATTTTAAAATTGGAGTTCAATTAGGAAGATAGCTGATGGGGACAAAAATTAAGCCTTGTCTGTCATTATTGACTTATTATAAGAAAACCCAGGCTTTATCATACAAAATTAAGGGTGCTTGTTAATGAGACAATTTCTACTGGTCATCAGTTAGGTATGAGACACTATGGAGGTTTCATAATGACACTGGCGCTAGTGACGGTTTGGGGTTGGTACAAATATAGAGCCGGCACAGGCTAGGGTAGAAACTAGGTAGAAATTGCCTCATTAACAGCTCCCTAAAATATTCTTACAAAGAATTCACAGAACAAGGAGTAGTACCAGAATTACTCATTGAAACAATTAACAGATCAATTTTGTAGATGTGTAGGAATTATCTGTTACCTCTAAAAATCTAAATAAAATGATAGATCTAGGTTGAAATAGGAATGTGATTCAAATGTTTTGGGGGAAAGACTTGGCTCTTTCGTCTATAAAGCTAGAGCCTATTTTTATGAAGTAAAATATATTCATGTTTATAATAAAAATACATTCATTTTCAATAATTGTATTAATACTACTGATGTGACATTGAATCAATCAAATTATGTGTCCCAGAGACAATCAAGTCGACTTGTCAAGTCTACATAATTAAAGAGAATATTGATTGTCTCCAGGTGCATTACTTCCTAAACCACTTCTAAAAAGGTAAATAAATTCGGAGTTATAAAGAAAAAATATATGTGAAAGAGATTAGGTACCTATCAGCTTTGATAACAAGGCTAATATCATTTGCTTAGCAACATTTTATCTGATAGCTAATTATATTTTTTTATGATGAATCGCAAGCTTAGACATAACGTACGTTTATGTGGACAATTCTATAGTGCCCAACTAACACAAGTGCATTTCAAAGGCTTTGAAACTTGCCATTTGAACTTATGCTCAAAATTAATTTGATCTTATGCAAAGTACCTACTTTATATTTTAAATGAATAGTATTAGAGTTTTCATTCCAAGATTATTATCAAGTCATTTTGATATGCATATATATTTTGAAATTAATTTACTTACCCAAAACCGGCTGCAAAATAATTGAATCCAGTACGACTTATTAAAATAACCTGGTAAACTTAAAAATAGATGGAACCAACGCTTTTCTACTTTTCATATCAATTTTATTATTAGGAATACGAAAGACAATATACTTACCAAATTAAATTATTAACTATTGAACCGAAAAAATAATCGAATAATATAGGACGACACAACGAGAGAAAAATAAATAAATGCATCTGTCACTGTCAGCGTCAGATCAGCTGTCATTTCCTGTCGCCTGTGCTGTGCTGTCAATCATTTATGGTTACGTTCCAAAGCTACGCTCTGGGTACAACTTTTCATGTCCGACATGTCAGCGTACACTCGATAAAACTAAGGTTGATACGTATGCTACATAATTAATTCTGCGTAAATAGTGCCTGTCATGTACAAAGAATAAAGCGATTGCTTAATTACGTTTTTTGGTTAAAGTTTGAAGTTTACTGTCTTATTCTCTGTGTTCTGCTGTCTCGATCTGAATAAAATTATGGTTAGAGAAAATTCTCTCTGTGGAATAGGATATTTTACTGAAAGAAGACATCATTTTATTTTAAATATGTAATTAAGTAATTAAATTTAACATTTTATTTTAAATTATGTAACACCAACTAATATTAAATCGGATACGCCTCAAAGTAAGTTAAAATTTTGAGTTCATCATCATTGACATTTATCATCCGCTGCTGTGGTTTCTGTAAGCGCATATCAAAACGTCCTAAATTTCTTAAAGTATCCACTAAACTTTGAAAAACACAAATATCGAGAAAGTACGTCTCTATCATGATATCTTTCGCGCTACCACCGCAAAGCTAATATCTCTCCGTGGTTCATAAAGTAAGCTTCCATTAAATATATTTTATTTTGATACGCCATGGTAAGAAAATTAACAAAAAAATGCAAATAAAGGAAAATGAAACTCACAAAAAACAAAAGAACAGATGCTTGAAAATGTATGTGTTCCATTTTCGAATTACTATTTTTATAAATTTCAGCCAATCGCATTGTAACTGTGAGTTCTAAAAGAAATGCATACGTACTACAGTTTCTATATCATTTTATTATTTCTATCGCGTAATAAGACACCTTTCATTTAAAATGCTATGTTATTTAGCAAAAAATAATGCTTATGATTAACCCTTTCAATAGTTATCATAAAAAATGTAGTGTATTTTTTTCGAAATTTCACCGGTTTGATTACACTACTGTGGTAGCCGCAGTAGTGTTGTGAGGGATTTAGTGACTCGTGGGGACTGTCCACTGATAAATATTTTTGTAAATAGGCTTATATATGTTTTAATATAATTTACTAACATAGTATTAAGTATTGTATACTAACACGTGGATCTATGTAGTCCGAATAATAAATGATTTGATTTGATTTGAATTTTGAATTTGATTTCCCGTTGTAGGAGGCGATTTTTAAAAATTCTGTGAATGCAATTCTAGTTATTATTAAAATAAAATTATGTCTTCTTTCAGTAAAATATTCTATATTTAATATACTTTCCCTCCGTGTGAGGTAGCCTTGGCACGCTCTGTATATTCCGATAGAGCTAAAGATGTTTCACTGCAGTCGTGAGGTCATAAACACACAGGTTTTTTTATCTTATCAATGTTCATCTTTAGTTAGACACACTCTGTGAGGAAGACTACTAAGATCTCCGAGCCATGTGTTTAGCTCCTCCAAGCAGAGGCGGCTTTACCTAATGTGCATTTTTTTAAAGATAGGTGTAACAAATGACTCCACCCTACCTGCTGTTATGTGACGGCGAAGTCCAGACAAGAAGATAGTTGTACCGGCCACATCAGTCATCCTCACCCTGCCGGCCTGCATTTTGCTTCTTCATGTCGCTGTTAAAGGATTCTAGGTTGTAGGAGGGAGAGAACACGTGAGCGGGTAGAGTATTTGCAGATAGTGCGATAAAGAAATGAGTCACCAAATTTTATTTGTTCGCATTGGAATAATAATAAATAAATATATAAATATTTCCAATTTCCCCTCCCCCTAATTCAATTGATACAAAACTCACTTGTATAAGAAAAAAACAGCTAATAAACTATAAACAAAGCCTCTTATATATATAAATAACAGTAGGTGTGTAATTTTAAAGACAAACAACATGCTAAGAAAATACAAAACCCTTAATCACCATTAACAGCCGATACAACTAAAATTAATAATTAATTACATAGGAGATCCTGATGTATGATTATTTACTAATAAGAACAAAAAGTGTACTTAGTAACAAAAAATAATTTAAATTTCACTAAGACTATGAGGTTCGCTCCAGTTATTATAAGAATACCCCAAAATACTTTCTAATGTTTCTTTTATATATTAGTAATCTACCTCTAGTAACGCCATCAATGGTCATAATCAAGTGTTTGCAACCACGTAATTAGCCGTTTTTTGCAGTCAGAAGACCCCAAGGAATATATTTGTAGTATGTTATTCAGTTTATTGTAAAATGTTCTGCTTGTTTGTATATTGAGGGTACATAAATGCAGACCTATGCACAGATTCTACCATATATGCTTCCTTCTTTTATTATTATTTATTTTTACGAAAGGTAAAGTTTTATACTTTTTAAAACAACAAGTAGGATATAAAGTCTTCTCACTGAGAGGTGACCACACCCTAAATAGAGAGAGCTAGTTGGGTATTTGTATGATTTCAAGTACATTACCTTTAGTAAAGCTCTCTGAGCCCTCTCTATTACCAAAAAGCTAGTTATGTAAGAAACCCCCCAAATCGGTACACAATAAACAATAAAAGACTGAGCGAGCGTAACATAAACTCTATCTAGAACCTCTATTGATGCTACATGCCTCAGCGTTTGGAAGATCCAGATAAGCTTTCAGCTTTCTTTAAGTATTCGACCAGAAACCAATTCAATATGACTCTACCAAAAGAGCCTTTGGTCAATCATTACACCCATATATTTAATTGATATTACCTAATGAATCTATCTATTAGATTACTACATTTATGGATCCTTATATTAAACTCCTTTTTAGGTTGAGTAAGCAAAAAGAGAAAAGCAAATAACATTTGTTTTACTTATACTTAGACTGAGTAAATTTTTATCATGCAACATTACAATTTTTGTCAGTTGTGATTCTGCAGTAAACTTCCCTTCATTCCACGAATCACCTTCAAATATTAATGCAGTATCATCATCGTAACATATAATCTTCCCTTTATGTAATTTTATATTGCTAAGATCATTAATGTTTAAAATTTAAAATCATTTATTCAGTCTAGGCTGTTACAAGCACTTGTGAATGTCGAAAAGCTACGCCATCGGTTCGCAAATCTACGGCGGGAGACCTTGTACTGAGAAGAACCAGCAAGAAACTCAGCAAGGGCTGCTTTTTTCTCCCTGTTTTATTTCATACAGTGTCGTTCAATTGAAAGTTGACATCAAATTTGCAAACAATGTAAATCAAAAACAGCGTTGGACCCAAAACGCTACCCTGAGGTACGCCGTAGCAAATATCCATGTCACTATATATTGTTTTAAACTTTCATGGTCACTAATAACGAATGAAAGAACACATTAAAGCAGTCAGAAATAATGATACGCAAAAATCAGCCATCGCGGAACATTTAATTGATTCGGGTCCTAATCACTGGATTGAGCTCCATAATCCACAAATAATCCAGTGGTTCGTATGTGTAAAAACCGCAAAAATCAAAAAAGTGTCGTTCCGCGATCTGATACTGTGAGTATTGTGTGCCGGGAACAAATGCGAGTGAATAGTGAGAATGTGACCAGTGGTAGTGGTAGTATCGAACGCAGTAAAAGACGACGTCAGAGGGTAGACCGATATGTCTGCCAATAACATCTACCCGCAATTACTTCAATTACTCCGTGATCATGGCGCTTGCAACAGTGCCGAAATATCGGAGACTCATAAATAACAAGGTACATGGTAACAATCCCGTTAATATCTATAATCCATGTCACTACTAGATGAGCAGAATTAACAGCAGCGGTCTTAGTTCCATTATTTATGACGGCACTGCAGTTCCTTTCAGCAATGTCGTAAAAGATTTAGGATTATATGTGGACTCGAGTTTTAAATGGCAAGATCAAGTAAGTAGTGTCTGTCAAAAAGTAACGGGAACTCTCCGTGCTCTTTATCGCCTGAAAAATTTTCTGCCGGTCAATATCAAGGCAAGGCTTGTGCAAACCTTAATATTTCCCATAATTGACTATGGTGATGTGTGCTACCTCGACCTGAATCTACTCAATAAACTTGATCGACTTCAGAATTACTGCATTCGATTCGTTTTTAACCTCAGAAAATATAATATAAAATGGATATAATGGATGAAATATAAAATGGATGCCTATTAGGCAGCGCAGATGTTTGCGGGCTCTGACCACTTTGTTCTCTTTGTTAGATTCTCCAAATGCCCCCCCCCCCCTTATCTCACTTCTCAATTTCAGTACTTATGTACCTCTCATCCTAAAAACCTTCGATCTTCTTCTTATCGTTTACTTGTCGATCCCTCTCACCGCTCTGATATCATTCACTTTTCCTTCTTCATCAAAGCAATTCATTTGTGGAATGAACTCCCGTTAGCCATTAGAATGTCCAGCAGCAAATATAGCTTTAATACCAAGCTGCGAAGCTTTTTACTGGAACAGACAATTTCGTTTGGTAGTTAGTTGTCATTCATCATCATCATCAGCCTATTAATGTCCCCACTGCTGGGGCACAGGCCTTCCCTATGGATGGAATAGGGAGATTGGGCCATGACCCACCACGCGGGCCCAGTGCGGATTGGTGGGTGCTAACGACTGCAGATGCAGCCGGGACCAACGGCTTAACGTGCCTTCCGAAGCACGGAGGGGTTCGAGATAGTAAATGTTTGGTCACCCATCCAATGACCGACCACTGCGATAGTTGCTTAACTTCAACGATCGCAGCCGAACGCGCTAACCACTTGCGCCATCAAGCTCCTCTAGTTGTCATTATTATGTATTAATTATATATAGTGTTATTTTATTATATGATTACGTATGTGTATGTTTATATATATATATGTGTGTGTGTAATTGTATATAATTACTGTGTAATTTAATTAATATATATTATTATAATATTTATGTTCAAATGTGATTTACTGCTTTAAATGTGATTTCCACCTCACATGTGTAGCATTATAATTTTATACGTTAGTTTATAGTAATATTATTAATCAAAGCGCCATCTATCACCATACATATAAATCATCGAATAATGTAATCTGTTTTAAAGGAGCACGGAATTCATTCTGAATGAATAATTTGATAGTTGAGTTTGAAAGTTTCTACAGATGGAGTTAGTATGTAACAGTGTGAAATAAAATTACACGCATAGGATGCGTGATGGCTAATGTTCTAGAAGGAGTTTCTTTGATGGGCGGAGCCGGCCTAACCGGTCCTGTCATTTCCTCGCACCAAATAAGGTGATTTGAGAGAAATTTGCTAGCAGACACACGTGACCCTATGCCCCTTTAAATAGCTTTGCGCAGACGGCTTCATTCTCTTTTGTCTGCTAATCGAACTCTGGAACATCTAGTTAATTGCACAGTGACTGGCAGTTATAGTCAGTGCATTATTAATTAATATATTTTCCCCGGATTAACGGATAAGTGCAATATATCTAACTAGTTAGGTTGCAGGTCAATTTAGGTTTTTTTTTTGAACTATAGGAAATGTGTGTAATTGTTTCTAGGTCCTTTGAGGAGGCTAATTAAAAACAGTATACGAAAATTTCAATTAATTAATCCTGCTTGGAATTTCTTTGGATATATCTACTATATAAAAATAAGTCGGGTTTTCCTTCCTGATGCTATAACTCCAGAACGCACGAACCGATTTCCACGGTTTTGCATTCGTTGGAAAGGTCTCGGGCTCCGTGAGGTTTATAGCAAAGAAAATTCAGGAAAATTTCAACAAAAAGAAAAACTTCTTTTAATCACCAAACGAAATGTTACATAAAACGAAGCCATCTGATGGCGAAACGGAGTTCGCCTGGTTTGCTAGTATTATATAAAGAAGTACGCTATATATATAAATGAGCCTGTGAATTCAATCTTGAGCGAAAACGAGTACATGTGATGACAGCAGGTCTTGTTCCAACTCATGTGGATACCTGAATCGCTTGATGGTACCAAGATCTTGAGAAAAGCTAAGTAAACTCTGAACATATTTAATCTTTAACCAGTGCATTCTCCGAAGTACGAAATTTCTGATTGTTAGAACATAATAAAGGATTTGTAATAGTAAACTGTAAATTCATTAATGTAAGTAGTTTGATATTTGCTAAAACAAATTGTTTCTTTAGACTATTAACTTAAATATATCTGTATTACACTTATTCTAAATACTTGAACTTATAAAAGCCATCTTCAAAGATATCTGTTAGTTGTAAAAAGTGTGTCACTGTATGTTGAAAATTTCATCTGAATAGTGAAAATATAAAACTCTTGTTCACTGCGGTCATTGATTTTTTATTTGATCTCCCTCAAATATCAGTATTACGGCGCCCTGATTATAGATTAGTTAATTTTGAGTCTCATTCAAAAGCCCTGAATTAGTCGGTGATAACAAAAATTGTTACACATGTGCACCCTAACATTAATCTTCTCCATAACACCCTATGGTGGACTGGTAGAGAATACCTACGGCATTAAGTCCGCCATTGTACAATTGTGCATTAAGAATTAAATAAATAAATAAATAATGCTAACTAGCCAGTATCGCATATAGGACCTTTTCCTAACACGGGAGCCCATAGGATGAGTTATGAGTTCATGACCCACACGTGTAAACGTGCAGGTGTTTAGTCACCGATGTAATTCTTCGGATTAAAATCACAGCGAATTTCCATACCAATCATGGTGATATTGCTTTCGAGCTCCAGTGGTGTGCCCTAAAGAGAAGGAAAAGAAATCAATGTGTGTGGATTATGACCTAGTTTTTCGTCCAGACATACGGAAAGTTAGGGAACTAAAAGAATATATTTTCCGAAAAGCAATAGGCTAGTTTACTCATGTTGAATTGTATTAAATAAATGTTTATTTCTTAAAGTATTTGGTCTAAGGAACCTAAATATATCGATTTCACTTCATAAAAGCAGAAGATTGCTGTAGAAATTTAATTTAAAAAAATTTTTTTAGTCTATATTTTTTAAACACTTAAAACGCTGTTCGCCACGCCGCCATGATTTTGACGTCTCTTGTGGTAAACAACTAAATGTCATTCGCGTGTTACTGTAGGTGGATTCTTTCGTCTGACTAAATTTATCTTAAAACACTTTTAACTTTAGGAAAGAAATAAACAGTAAACTTAGTTTTTTTGACAAAACTAATTATGGTTGCCGGCTTTGTAAAAGCAGAAAGCACAAATCTGCCAAGAATTGACACATTGATGGTTGGTGAATTTGTTGCACTAAACCCCGATTTCTGCTCTGCGGAGCAGAGAAACGACAAGGCATCTATGTAAGTACAGTGCATTTAGTATTACAATGTAGTAATAAACATAAAACTGATACAACATATGAATAAGTGTAATAAAGTTGCGTAGGTTAATTTCTTTCGGCACTTTAATCCACAACTTTCCTGGAGTCTTCAAGGATGTGTTTTTATATTCTCGTACAATACAGGTATGATAATTACTTTATTTTTCGTGGTATTTATTAGAAATCATGTTTTTTTTTTTATTATAAACTCAGTTTTAAGTAATTTTCTACGTGTTTACGAGTTTTTGTTTACCACAGTTCACGTCATAGCATAGATAATCTATAGACTAAAATGGCCGACAGCGTTTTTGTATGTCCATGAAAAGTCTATTTTAAAATTAAAGATTTGTAGCTTTCTAGGTTTAAAAAAAATACAATACATTTTTTTTCGGTCTAATAGAACATTTATTAACCATTTAAAACCATTTTCCAAAAAGAGTCAACTAGCCTATTGTACAAGACACACAATATTAAAAAAAAAATGCAATATATGCACTTAACCCTTTGCGTTATATGTATAATTTCATATTTGTTTCTTAGGTTTTCACGCACACCACTCATTAAATAAAACAAGTTTCAACAGTATAGATGCACTGAATAATTTATTTATTGACGTTTCGTATCTTTTTTAGGACACGTCGTCTAAATTATGATTTTATTTAATTTGTTGAGCTACCTTCGAAAGACTTTTTGTATCATTTCATATACCATAATGTTAACTAGCCAGTATTGCTTAAAGGACCTCTTCCTAACACGGAAGCTTACAGGATGCGTTATGAGTTCATGACCCACACGTGCAACGCGCTGATGTAACGTGCCTTTGCTGCGATCCTTCCTTTTAGAAATCATATCATCAGCATCGTCATCATATAATTCGCAGCTTCGCCAATTACACAGAATAACCATTTTTATTACCATTTTAGGTCAATTCGAACTCTATCTAAATTTAAATGGTTGCGGACATAGGTCCGGAACCATTATTAGTTTACAAATAGTTAACGCAGAGCTAGGTATGGGATTTAATACTTTGGTAAAACTGTATTTTCCGGACTCGGGAGTGTATTCTTATTTTTTTTTTGTGAAAAAGGTCCCTGTTAACGAATGCAAAGCAAAAGCTTCACACTAACGCACTGATAGTTTTTAGATAAGAATATAAAAAAAAATTACTGTCCTTGTCAATGATTAACTTTTTAAACCATTTTAATAATTTACATCTATGTTTTTTTAACATTCTCCTCCTTAGAGAAAGTAAAAGGAATAAACAATGCAGACTTATTATTTATATTTACAATTAAAATCTATTTAAAAAAGTGTTAAGATTATTATTATAGAAATTGAGAACTCTTTGGCGCCCAACGATTTTCAGGAATTAAAGGGGATAGGTGACCCCATCTGTTCCATGCTGGAGTTTAATCTCGTGTACGCTATCATTAGTTATGGACACGCAAATTTTAGCATACGCACTGAGCACTGAGAGTGTAGATTGGAACGTAGCCTTGACGTTCAAAGTTCGTTCAAAACTCTATAATAAAAAATATTCATTCTTTAATTTTGATTATTTAGCTCTAAAAGAGTAAAATATTTGGAGTAAAAAAATTAGAATAGTAACTTACTATTTCAAATAAAGGTGTAATTTATTAATAACTCAACTTTTTTATTATTTCATTATTCATTTTTGTTATATTTTCAGATCGGAGAAATTAAATTAATGTTTTTTTAGAATTCTGCACGTTATCGTTTGTCGTGTTCGAGAATCGAGATTCTCATCCAGCTTCTCTCCCGTCCCGCTCCCGATTTTTAACTTTCAATTCAGGTCAGGAAGAAAGATTACGTGTTTTGTGTTGACGTGGCGGTTTGCAAGAGGTACAGTACCTATTTTATCGCTACCGATTAATAAACTTTATACTATTTATAGCATTTCACAAAGAGATTAGGTCAACATTTATCTTTCCATAAAAATCTAATCGTAATTCAAAGCTAATTTTAACTTTGGTGGGCGAGAACTTACAGTAAAACTCTTTTTATTAATAAATTTATAATTTAAGATAGTGCCTTAAAATTAATTACAGGTAAAATGTTGAGAACATTATTTGTGTCACTTGCGGTGTCGGCGGTATTCGCCGGGGTTCCAAGCCCAGAGGAAACAAAAAAACTGGTACAACACTTTTCTGACGCTGAACACTTCAAAAATGAACATCACAACAAGCAGTTTGATCATGACGCCTTTTTAGGGGAGGATCAGGCCAAAACATTTGATCAGTTGTCTCCAGAAGAAAGCAAAAGGAGATTGGGGTAAGCATGCAAAATCATGGGCTAAACTGTACTTCCAGGGCCCAAGTGGTGGTACTTCACACTAGGTTAGGTTAGGTTAGTGTTGTGACCAGAAAAAACATTTTTTTTAAAGAGACCTTTTCTACAAAAAGTTCGAGTATCACCTTTTGGGCCCTGGAAGTACAGTTTTATCAAATCATGTATTTTTCTTCAAATATTTTAATCAGTGGCTGAGTTCATACATTTTCATGTCATTAACCTCTACTATCAGAACTATCTAGATCAATTTACTTAATTCGGCCAAATTAAAGATAAACCTCTTAGAAAATTACACCCACAAGCTTTATGTAGGTTAAATAAACTGACAAGACTTCCTTAACTAGTCAAGATAAGTTGCTCTATGAAACAATTGATCAATTGAGTTCAAGTTGCTGATTTAATACAATAAAATTTTGATTTTCAATATTTTTTATTCCTGTTATTAATTAAGTGTAAAAGTCTAGAAGAAGAAGTTCTCAGTTATAAGTTTTAAAATAGTCTTACGTTTTAGAGAATATATATATACCTACCATCAAAGATATATTGTACACTGATTTATTTATTTATTAACTTTACGCATCCTTTACAGTTTGCATTATCAGAATAATCTAAAATCTGTGCATCTATACTGTTGAAACTTGTTTCATTTAATGAGTGGTGTGCGTGAAAACCTAAGAAACAAATATATTGTACATGCCAAATTATTCATATCAACAGTTCATCAACCTTTTTATCAATTTTAACGTGACCCATGAACTTACATGTACATATTTTTATTTTATTTCTAGGATTATAGTCGACAGAATTGATTCGGACAAAGATGGCTTTGTAACTTTAGTTGAGTTGAAAGACTGGATTAGATATACACAGAAGCGTTATATCGATGAGGATGTGGAGAGGCACTGGAAACAACATAATCCCCAGAATGAAGAAACTATTCCATGGGAGGTTTGTTGTTGCATAATCTAATATTTTGTTTTTATATTATAAGGGGCATATAAGCTAATAGCTCACCTGATGGTAAGTGATCATCATCGCCCATAGACACTTGCAACACCAGGAGTATCGAATACCGAATGTGATGCCACCCTTTGAGGAAGGAGTGTGCTCATTTTTTTAGATTCTCGGGTTATGTTGGTCCGGAAACACTGCTGGTGATAATGTATTCCTTAGTTTTTTTGTTGTCGGTTGTGGACAGCCACACATCAAGATGATGGGTATGAAATATTACTTAAATAGCTGTAGTGAATTAAAAATAGACAGATGGCCACACAGATCCTAATCCACAGTTTTTGTTTGCCCAAAAAATTTCCCACTTCTGTTTTGTACGAGTAAAACACCCAAGTCTCTATCTTAAATACTTTATAAAAAATCATGAACTTTATGTGACCTTATCATGACAAAACGTAAAAATAAATTCTGGAAGCCAACAAAGGTATTTCTTTGAATTAAAAATGTTGTTATAGAACATATTTAGGCGCATGTTATGCAATTTAATTCTTGTTTGAATCAGGCCAAAAAATGTTTTTTTTTTCAGATTTGTTTTTTTTTCTCCATAAACACTCAAAAGTACGACCTGTGACTATCACAGAATAATAGCTTATAATAAGGTCTATCACTTATTAAAAATCCATGACGCACTATGGCGGATGTTAGGAGTAATCCACGATTTAGTAAAGCATTTGAAACATTTATAGTTTTTAGACTGAGTCATTGATTGCATTTTCAGACATACCGGAAGAATGTTTACGGATTTATGGATGAAATGGATGAGAAGGAGCTCAGGGCACCCAACAGTGAGGGATTCACATACTCCAGCCTCCTTAAGAGAGACAGGAGGAGGTGGCACTATGCTGGTGAGTAAATATCTATCAGTATGTCTCTATATTTAGGTTTGGTAATTTACTATACGACACGGGGTTTTGTAGAGAATCAACTAAAGGGAAAACCTTTCAATACCTAAACAGTAACAAAACAATCTCAAACAGAAAAAAATGGATAAATCGAATATGTTAAAATTATGCAAAATTCATGATGAGTATTTATTTCTGATTAAAAAAGGAAAAAACTTTGAAATGCTCCTTACTTTACTACATAACTACCTTCCTTGAAATAATCTGTTTTTATGTTTTCCTTCTTTTTCATTTCCTACCCTCCTTGCTCTAGTTCTTTCATGAATAGATCTGTACGAACTATTTGGGTCAAACTATAATTTCTTCTGCCTAAGATTCAAATCATGTTAAATTACACATTTTGAATTACCTAAATATCAAATAAAACTAGTTTTGCACAAACTTTATTTATTTATTGACATTTCGCAGCCTTTCAAGCTGAAGAAAATGATGCAGACCTCTGCATCATCAGAATAAATTTATTCAGTCAGAAGGTATATTTTTATTCTGAGGATGCAGACCTGAAAATGCTGCGAAACGTCAATAAATAAATAAAGTTCGTGCATTAACCCGTTAACACTAGTTTTATTTCATGAATGATGTGCGTGAAAACCTAGGAAACAAATATATCCTAAATATCATTAACCCTTGTATTCACACTTGTATTCACCGTACACACATCACATTCACAGCAATCTTAACCATACTAATTTTGTGTACACAATAAAGTACATAAGTTGTAATACAGGTATTGTTTGACTTTAAAGAAAGAAATTTGTAATTTCAACATTGTTATTTTATTATAGAAAGAAAATATTATAATTTTTAGATGGGGATCAAGACGACGCATTGAACCGCACCGAGTTCTCTGCGTTTTTGCATCCGGAGGAGCATACTGGCATGAGAGACATCGTTGTCCTGGAGACGCTGGAGGACGTTGATAAGGACAATGTGAGGCGAATTTTCAAACTATTCATCATCATCACCAGCCCATTATTGTACCCACTGCTGGGGCACAGCCCTACCCTATGGATGGAATGGGGAGATGGGGCCGTGACCCACCACACGGGCCCAGTGCGGATTGGTGGGTACTAATGACTGCAGATGCAGCCGGGACCGATGGCTTAACGTGCCTTCCGAAGCACGGAGGAGTGGGAGATAGTTTTTTAGATCACCCATCCAAGGACCGACCATTGTGAATGTTGCTTAACTTCCACGATAGCAGGCCGAACGCGCTATCCACCTGCGTCATCGTGCTCCTCTACAATGATCTGAAACTATTATTAACTCTTTTTCTATACATATTGTAAAACAGACACTCCCCCTGTCTGTATGTAAAAGGTATTTTAAAGTATGCAACGAATTTTTATGCAGTTCTCAGTAATTGATAGACTGATTAAAGAGAAACTAGCAAACCAGTGAACCAAATGTTCACCAAAACCTGATGTATTTAATTAATTGAGAACTTCGGAGATTTTCTGTGGTTTCGTTTGAAATTCGTGATTTCTCGAAAACCGGAAGTGCTACGTTACTCAAATCCGGTTTGTAGTCTTATCAGACTATTCTTAACTTATAACTTAAATATTCTCTTTATCTATCTCTTACGGTTTGGCTGCTGAAACACCACCACAGACAGACGGACTTGTCTAATAGATAAGAGATATTTATAAATGTATTATATACATGTTCAAGAACTTCTTCACTTTAGCAAAGCGAGGGTGGGTCACTTACATATAAAATAAAATAAGCACCCCGACTGTCTGTCTTTTTAAAAAAATGCTTTAACAGCATTGGGTTTATTGCCAGTGAATAACATAAATTGAATGTCATGTTCAATGAAAAAAAGGTAAAACTCGAGAAGTTAAAGATGCTTTCTTTTCTTAATTTTCGTTTAATCGAATAGTAAAAAAAGGAAAGTAACAAAAAAGTATGTATTTTCTACAACAACGAAATAAACCGCTTGTTTAATTCTTAAAAAAATAGTCTATACTAGCAAACCAGTGAACCAAATGTTCACAAAAAAAAAATGTATTTAATTAATTGAGAACTTCGGAGATTTTGTGTGGTTTCGTTTGAAATAGAAATCACGTGATTTCTCGAAAACCGGAAGTGCTACGTTACTCACATCCGGTTTGTAATGTTATCAGACTATTCTTAACTTATATCTTAAACATTCTCTATATCTATCTCTTACGGTTTGGCCGCTGAAACAGCACCACGGACGGACGGACTTGTCTAATAGATAAGAGATAATTATAAACTTTAACTAACCATTGATTCGCTGGAACCACTTCAGGATGGCAAAGTGTCAATCGATGAGTACATCGGGGACTTGTACAAGACTGAAGACGGTGAAGACGAAGAGGAACCCGACTGGGTCAAGCAGGAGAGGGAACAGTTTACTGGATATAGGTATGAAACTATCTATACCGTAAGTGAGGGTTACTTTAGCTCGGGCGGGTAACTTTGTCCCAAATCAGAAAAAATATTGAACTTGCCGCCCTATCAGTATCTCTTGGGTGAGCGTAATAGTTCCAGTTGAAAATCACAGATAGCACATCGTTCCTGTATCAAGTTGTCATTGTAGCGCGGGATTTTTTGTAACTGAAATAGTTCGCAAGTTCATACTATCTCAAAACTGTGGTTTTCGGTAACTTTACTATTTTTTCTAAATTTAAAGTTATATTTTTTATTTAACTTAATTATTTTTGGACAAAGACATCCATTTGTGTATTCAGTATGCTAATGGTGATCTTTCATAAGGCTTACTTAACCCCAACATGGCTTAAAATGAGTTTTTTTCACGGAGAAAACTCAACGAGCTAAAGTAACCCTCTTTAAGGCCAACTTTGGCCCAAAATTAAAAAAATATATATTAAGCCTTAAATATTATTTTTTCCTATTTTCGTATGATAACTTTGTAACTTATACTTTAAAGTTCACAATGGCAAGATATAAACGTGACATATTCATCACAAAGAGAAGCTACAATTTTATTTGAAAAATAAGTCCACATTTTAGGTCAAAGTAACCCGCAGTTACTTGGTACATAATTATTATAATGCTGAAGAGTTTTATTTTTGGATTTTTTAAGCTGGTAGATGTTTGAAACTAAAGAAAAATTTACTCTAAAATAAATCACTCGGACCAGGCAGCAGATGTTGCTGAAGAGTTTGTTTTTGTTTGTTTGTTTGACCATGCAAACTCAAACTCATTTATTCAGTCTAGGCTGTTACAAGTTCTTGTGAAAGTCAAACGCTACGCCATCGGTTCGTAAATCTACGGCGGGAGACCTTGTACTGAGAAGAACAAGCAAGAAACTCAGCAAGGGTTATTTTTTCTCCCTGTTTTGTTTCAAACAGTGTCGTCAATTGAAAGATGACATCAAAAATTTAAAACATTTGTTGATGTCAACTTCCATCACATTAATATTATTAATTAATGCAAATCTCGGGAACATCGGTGCGATTTATTTTTTTAATTTATTTGCAAAGACGCAAAAGAGTTACAGTCTTATGAGTAGTAAATTAATTAACAATAGCCCAGGAACAAACTACAACCTAGAAATATGTATATCTAACATGGTAAGTATGAGCAACTTATGCAGGGCATCCCACAGGTTTCTTGCAAGGAGGGAGAGTATGTTAAATATTGAAGATATGATATTTTACTGAAAGAAGACATAATTTTATTTTTAATAATAACTGTAACTGCATTCACTGATTTTTATAAAATCGCCTGCTACAACTGGGAATCAACCTCGTGAAATTTGATAACAAAAACACATGACGTATTTTATGATAACCACCGATAGGGTTAATCATAAGGATTATTTTTTCCTAAATAACATAGCATTTTAAATGAAAGGAAGATCATGTAATTTAAATTTTATTCTAAAAAAGGACAATGGGCAAAAAAATACCCAGAAAAATTTGCCATTTTTTTTTACTATGACACCGTAAAAATATATCCTGGTAATCGAAAGATATGACACAATGTAGATTTATGCAGCTAGTAGTTACTACGTTATAGTAGTACAAACATACATATTTAATAGATTCCGACCGAAACTAGTTTTCCGGCCGAAACCGAAACCGAAAATTCGGCCGTGGCTTCAGTTTCGGCCGAAACCGAAACTAACGTGGTCAAGATTAAAATTCCTTAAAATGCTGAAATTTGGTGCATTTTACCCATTATTCAGCATTAATTAGTACATGAAATGGAAACACACTATATTATTTCGTTGTAGGTAATCATTTATTAAATATAATATAAAAAAATATTAATAATATTTTTATTATTTTTTCAAATTAAGTTCTCACAGCAAAAATTTTATCAGTTATCAATAATCAATTCAAAAATTGTTACTGTGTCATAAAATACCCATTGGTATTTTGAAATCTTATTAATTAATACTTTGGTTTGTATTTGCACTTAGGAGAATCATCAATCTCTTTTATCTCAATATAGGAAACTGCACTTCTCAATATAGGATATGGACTGTGCGAGAAACGAAGTAAGGCGAGCGTGCACGACAACTTCCGAAATCAGTTTCGGTTTTGGCAAAAGTTTCGGCCAATTTTGGCCGCCGAAACTTAATTTTTGGCCGAAACTCGGCCGAAACCGAAACCGAACTTTCGGTCGGACACTTATATTTAAATAGCTAAATATATTCATTTAATAGTACCTTCATTTTATATTATTAGTAACCTACTAGCAAACCAGTGAACCAAATGTTCACCAAAATCTGATTTAAAAAAAAAATGTATTTAATTAATTGAGAACTTCGGAGATTTTGCGTGGTTTCGTTTGAAATTCGTGATTTATCGAAAACCGGAAGTGCTACGTTACTACAAATCCGGTTTGTAGTCTTATCAGACTATTCTTAACTTATAACTTAAATATTCTCTTTATCTATCTCTTACGGTTTGGCCGCTGAAACAGCACCACAGACGGACGGACGGACTTGTCTAATAGATAAGAGATACAACCAGATATACGACAAAGCCTGCCGACCATCCTACGCTTGCACTTACTGAGATACCTAAAAACGGTTTACGGGCTAGGGGTTGAAGAACTTGCAGTTGCAAAAAAATATGCAACATTTCTTCTTACTTCGTTGTGATTATGCACTCCGTGTTGACACATGATTATTTTTTGACTAACACGCTTTGGACATTGGAACACGATTATCGGGTTTGTGAATTAGTATGGATGAACTCGAATCATGTTTTCTCGTGGCATGATTAAGTTTGTGTGTTTTGTGGTCGTTTCGTTTTACGTAGAAGACAATTAACTATAACGAACAGACTGTTTGAAAAAAACCAACCCAAGCGGGGATTTTTGGATTTTCTCTAGCGCGACAGAATAACATAAGGGGGCAACCTTGACCTTGACGACCTCCGTGGCCGAGTGGTTTGTACGCCGCGTTTCATGGTGTCACCGACTCGAGAGGTCCTGGGTTCTAATCCCGGTGGAGGCAGATATTTGTGTGATGAATACGAGCATTTGTACTCCTGTCATGGATGTTTAATATGTATTTTCTATATAAATATACTTATATGTGTACAGTACATTTATTCTATCCGTTACCCTAGTATCCCATAACACAAGCCTTATAGTGCTTACTTTGGGGCTAGGCTAATTGGTGTGAGTGTTGGAAATATTTATTATTATTACCTTGCACCTTGTGAAGTACTCTCATAATACCTGAGCACTCTACGTAGGCTCGAACTAACTAAATTGATTCTCTAGTTTCATTAATGTTCGTTCGTTATAGTACTTGTACCTATTTCACTTAAAATAACTAAAGACCCCCGGGATGGAATTCGATGCGCTTTGGCACAGATGATCATGACTATAATACCTTTCACACAAATGTAGTTTAAGCCGTGGCGGACGTGGGTGGAGCGTCCATATTTTTTTTCCCAATGTCCTTTCCTCAAACTTTTCGGTGCTTCCAATAGCTCATCATCAGCCTATTAATGTCCCCACTGCTGGGGCACAGGCCTTCCCTATGGATGGAATAGGGAGATTGGGCCATGACCCACCACGCGGGCCCCGTGCGGATTGGCGGGTGTTAACGACTGCAGATGCAGCCGGGACCAACGGCTTAACGTGCCTTCCGAAGCACGGAGGAGCTCGAGACAGTAAATTTTTGGTCACCCATCCAATGACCGACCACTGCGAAAGTTGCTTAACTTCAACGATCGCAGCCGAATGCGCTAACCACTTGCGCCATCGAGCTCCAATTCCAATAGCTAATGTTATCATTTCAAAGTAATTACTAACTAGTACCTGCTCACTTAATAATAAAGGATTTCCTTACTATAAGTACGTGAAAAAAAAAATAAAGCGATACTTATACAAACCTAGCACCGTTTCTTTTTTATTATAGTTGATGTTCAATTATTAAAAAAAAAGTAAAATTTCGTGACTTTTCTTTCATTTAAAATGCTGTTATTTAGAAAAAAAAATCCTCATGAATATAATCAACAATCAATCATTTACCCTTTCGACGGTTATCATAAAACTAGCAAACCAGTGAACCAAATGTTCACCATATTAATTAATTGAGAACTTCGGAGATTTTGTGTGGTTTCGTTTGAAATTCGTGATTTCTCGAAAACCGGAAGTGCAACGTTACTAAAATCCGGTTTGTAGTCTTATCAGGCTATTCTTAACTTATAACTTAAATATTCTCTTTATCTATCTCTTCCGGTTTGGCCGCTGAAACAGCACCACAGACAGACAGACGGACAGACTTGTCTAATAGATAAGAGATACATGTATTTTTTGTTTCACATTTCACGAGTTTGATTCCCGGATTTGGCAGACGATTTTTTATAAACAGTGAATGCAGTTCTACTTATTATTAAAAATAAAATTATGTGTAAAAATAAAGTGTAAAATATTCTATCCTCAATATTTAATATACTATCCCTCCGTGTGACAAACCTGTGGAACGCCCTGTATAATGAAACAAATTGACCTTTCGATCTATTGATTATTTCAAATTACATACCTACAATATTAAAGTTTCAAATCAGAACTTAAATCCAATGCACTTTACAATATATAATCAAATCAAAAAAAATCAAACAAGCCGGAATAGATTTATCGTGAGTATCGTGTACCGAGGCGTATAGTTATTACATATTATTATGTCAAAACGAGTTTATTATTTTGTGCTGACTGTACAGTTGGTGACGTCACAGGTCGGATGACAAATTAATTATAAGCAAATTTGATTCGCGACGTTACTTGAATAGCAAAATGAACTGCATTGTTAAATAAGGAACAATCTTAATGCATTATAAATTTATATTACGCGTATATAAGTATACTAAATATTTCTATTGGTAGCGGCAAACTTCTTGAGCAAAAAGCCACAAACAAAACAAGTAGCGTAG